AACAGTACCATAAGGCGAAAGTAGTGTCGCTAAGGGGAAACTAAAGCGACGTTAAGGCGAAATCATAGACAAAAGAATTTCCCCTTAAGAGCCGAATAAAGGTAGTATATATATATATATATATATATTATATATATATATATATATATGCAAATTACCATGGTATACATGCTATCATAAACATAATATATATCTGATTGTACCATCTGTGATATTTTTAAAAATACTTGTTGGTAGTTGTTGAAGCACTTGGTAGTGTATTATTTACATATACAACACTCAGCATATTCTTGTCTAGAATCATCCCACATTCTGTGTGAAGTTCAATCATGAACAATCACTATATTCACAAAAGCAACAATGGCTACATTATATTTTTTATGACATGTTATAAAACATTAATTGTGTATTGTTATATCCACTGCAAATGAAAACACCTATTTATATTACTAATACTGATAAGGCAACCTAATAAATATGTAATCTCACGGGTATTAACTAACCTGATCCCTGATAATAGTTTTTATTGACCGGATGAAAAGAACCCAGAATTGAGTCATGAATCCAGTTGCAAAATGAGCAATATCCTCTTCACTTTCCTGAAGCAAAAGAGAAAAGGATAAAAATACAACATTTATACCACACACAAAATCATCATTATATACAATGTACATTTCAATTCCATATTTACAGTATTTGAATAAACGCCCTACTTTGAATAGACCCCCCTCCCCACTTGGATAAAGGCCCCCTCCAGAGCATCATTTGGAATAACCACCTCCCTCAAATAAATGCCTGGTGTTTTTATTGTTTCCTCAAATAAATTCCGACCCTTCCCCCTCCCCACCCAAAAAAAAAGGCTGTAAACAAAACTAATGGAAGCAGCAGCATTCTCAACACATTCTACAAACATTCTACGAGTACAATTATATTTTTTTCTACCCTGGTTGGAAACAATAAGTCTTTATGATCCCTCAACACATTTGACAGTAATTATGTGTTGTAGTTCCACATTTATAGTGAAATTATAGGGCATTAATTTGAGTATATATCTGTCCATTTTACACACAACAAAAAAAGCACAACAATAAATGTCCCAAGGTGTTCATATAGATAAATTGTAAAATATATTAAATGAAGAATTCCATGCCCATGGCAAAAACACCCACTGATATTAATACAAATATTATAATAACACCATACTGTATCAATGTCCCTATCTGTCCTATTGCCAAATTGTGTGTTAAGTACATACCATCATATATTTCTACTGACGTACAGGGATGACTCTTATAAAATGCATTGTTTATTTTTGGACTGTTGAGTAGGTGATTTAAAAGCTTCATTTAACTCAGATATTAGCTGGCTGGTTGGATTTGACCAGAACAGATTGATGTATTTCTGAATTATTGACTTAATATTTCCTTCTTAAAAACAGGATAAAAAAAAGAAAAAGACAAATGACTGTTGATATTTGTACCGACAGCATTGACATACATATTGACATACCTGAGACATTAACTTAGTAGTAGGTATTCGATTACCATTTCCAGCAATCCTTACGTGGGCAGCGTTGATCGCATTCAGTGACAGATTAGAGTTAGCTTTAAGGAACGATGCAGAACCCGCTGCAGCTAGGTTCCCCAAGTCGCAACCCTTCTCTTGATCAGCACGCCAATACTCATCACAGACACCGTCCTGGACGGCTTTTGTCATCGCCATCACGGCATCGCCATACTCCCCTGAGGCCACCTCAATCACTGGATGAAACCAAATAGACATTAGGGAGTTTTCGCAGGGTTATGAAAACGATAACGAATACGACAACGTCATCAAATGTTTAGACAAATCTTCCCCTACAGTAGCATGTCTTTCACAAGGTAGGCAATTCATGCCCTTTGAATGAATCAAGGATCATATTCGTACAGTATATTGTCAAGAATGTTTTAGGTACGAATGATGGTAATGACGTATTCCTATTCATTATCGTAAGGTTGTGACATTTCCCTACTGATATCAAAAACCCATTATTCATAATATACATATTATTGATATATCGAAATTCAATATAAACTGCATGCACATATTACTGATCCTTACAGTAGGTCCTGGGATCATAAAATATATTTCTTGTAAAAATATATAAATTTTTGACCTTATGAACTCAATTAAATTATTATTTATACTATATTATTTTTAGTATATATTTTTGTTTTTGATTTCTTCATGTTTTCTATATTTATGTATCCGTTTGATGTTTGTGTTCCCTCCTGAAAGTGGCGAAATTTTATGTTTACTGTTGGCTGGGATAAGAAATAAATAAATAAATAAAAACAAGATGAGGTAAACTCTCTTTATTCCAGATAAGGCGGAACTTTTTTTTTGTACCTTGTTTAGCGAACCCACTCAATGATGATTTCGAATAAAAATAAAATTTTATTTTTTGCCGATTAGCGCAGTCGCTGCGACAAAAATTGGAAATTTATTGCACCCGCCGCCGACTTGAAATCTCCAATAATAAGAATAGTATGTATATTTCTTCCTAATTTTATAAATTTAAGCATTTAACCATCTGATAACTACACCACTAACATTTTTATTTTCTCCTTTGTCTGGATGTTTTTGGAAAAACTCTTTGCTAAATGAAAACCAAAATTTTATTTTTAATTTTCCCCCCATCTCTGATGATCTTTAAAAAAATAAGTTCGCTAAACCAGTTATAAAAAAGGTCTTGCCTAGATAAAAGGTCTTGCCTAGATAAAAGGTCTTGCCTAGATAGGTGAAAAATTACCTCAACACAATAGGATATCCTGAATAAAAAAAAAAATGGCAATGCATACACAAAACCTAGTTGGTGAAACAAACATAATAAATCACAATTAATGTCTATAACTAACGAGCTTACACAATTAATGTGCAGCCCGCATTAATCCTCCTTTGCTCATAGAAAATAAAATTATCATGACCTCGCTCAATTGGATGCGAGTCTCATTTGCAACGACCATTATATTTTACCATGCACAAAACCTATATGTCAGTTTGTGAGAAGGCATATGTTTTCCAATACTAATCCAATAACTAACTGTAAACAAAGCTTGTGGATAAGTTGATCATATACTTACCATAGTCAGCTGGATTGTGATAGGGTGGACAAATGAACCCTAGGGAACTCATGTACGGGACTAACGACCTCACAGACCCGTAGTACAAACACCGACCTTCACCGAGAATGTACAACTGGAAAATGATGAAAACAAAATGTACAAAATCGATATCAACACTTGTCATCAAATAATGGCGCCATTTGCTCAAAATGTTTCTCATTCTCATTTATTCTTATTAATACCCCTATGTATATTTATTTCTGTTCAGTGCTTTGCAATAATAATATTATGAAAAATAATATCTTAAATATATAAAATATACATACTTATAAAATACTGTACATAATATTGTGTATATATTTACAATAGCACAACCCAATTATTTTGGCCATACTCTATAATACAATTATTACAATAGCTGAAATATTGTAGAATCTAACAATAGATGTATTAATACTGTCATTTAAAAACCACCGTATAATTTTAGAGCATCTGTAAAAGATAATAGCAAAATGTGGAATCGAGTGGAACCACAGTAGGGCTTTCAACCGACAAGTCAATGTATTCATCCCCCATGACCTGCGACAATGATTATCAGGGTTAATTAGTAAAGATTTTTAAAAACTATAGGGATAGAACTAAGAGTATCAATGAAATTTACCTTATCAAACATTTCAAATAGCTTTGCGCTTGGTTGATGTATGGTACAGATGACGGTTCGTCCGCCATGAGCCAATGATTTCAACAGTGAGATACATTGGAAGCTAGATGAGCTATCAAGACCACTGCAATCAAAAAACATAGGAAAAAATCTATTTTAACATTTGTGTTACATGTGTTAATTAATTTTCAATTCAACTGCACTAAACACTAAATGTGTCAAATTGTGATATTTCCAACTTGTGATTTAGAATAGCAAATTACAATTTCCAAAATCTCAAAATAAATTCAAGTATAAAATAATAATAATAATAATAGAGAATATTGAATACTAAATATAATAATAATAGTGATATTGACCATTTGTTGCAAAGACAAGCCAAACTAGTCACTCGTCGCAAATCCTGTTTCAGGGATAATATCCAAAACATGCTGAAATGTCAAAATTTTTGAAATCTATTTACTGCACTAAACTATAAACTTTATATCTATACATCATGCTATGCTGTTATTTTCCTCATATTCAATGTTAAAACAACAATTTTTAACGATTTGGTGATGGTTTCTGCCTGAGAAATGCCCAACATCATGAACTTTGACGGCTGATTTCTCAAATTTTGTTTTTAAACAGCTGCATGTTTAAACTCTTGTAACTTCATAACGAAATGTCGGATTCAAATGATTCCTTTACCATTTTATAGCTCTGGTTTAGCTGTTTAACCCTGTATTAATAACTAAACATTGATTTTTGCAACGAGTGACTGGTTTGCCACATTTGCAATACACTAAATCTGCTATGTAAGTCAAAATTGTATGATAGGTGGAATACACTGTTATACAGTACACTGACGATTCTGGTGTCAACCTCTTTTTTACTTATGTCTATGTGACATTACTTTGTACAGTATTGCTTTTCTTTATTTTTTGATAAGGAAAATGGATGACTGAAATAAATTGAATCGATATTAAAAATAAAAATACTAAAAACTGGAAACTTGATGAAGATTAACATAAATAATAATATAATAAATTGCTATTTATGCAGCAAATATTACAAGAACTGCCTCTATGCACTAAACAACTAAAAAGGATAAATGGTAGTTGAAAATGATACTTCTCGCAATTAAATAATAATATAAATACATTACTGTAATGTGTACGTAAGAGTACAATATTATTTATAAATATACCAAGAAATCTGTAATGACATTCAAAATTAAACATCTAAAAAGAGAAATACAAGTTAAAGTAATACAATTTGTTCAAGCACAAAAATAGTGATTAGAAGCTTAATTTTCATTCAAGTTTTAAGTTTGTTACGTCAATTCCTAGCCAGTCTGTCTATTGATTCCGCCGATGGCATTGGTTATATTTCATTTGTTGCATGAGCCTTGTGCTACTACATATCATCATCAGGTAATTATCATATAAAACAGCTTTATAGAAATGTGTGTAGGCCTATTGCTAGAGGATGCTATAATTAATGTGTGGTAATAGTGAATTCAAGGGGAGGGGGTTCAAATTGGTAAAATGGAGATAAAAAGAGGTCTAGAGGTGCTATAATAAATGTTCTTACCTCAGCCACAACCATGGTGGGGCTGAGGTGATATACACCCTCCATCTGTGAAAGTCCCTTCTGGGCCACCTGTATTTCAAATTCCTAGATCCACGACTGTGTAGCTTTTAGTGATAAAAACCTGGGGAATCTACTGGAAAAGTACTTTATAAAAGTCACCGCAGCTACTTATTCAAATCATACTTTAGGCTTACGACTGGAAAACCGCTGGTACATGAAAATGGGATGCAAAGTAGGGGGTAGACTTATACCTGAGGTTGGCTTATACCCAAGAAACTCTGGCCTAAGAAAAAATACTATATTTTGATTGTTATTAACTGGCAATGATAAACAAAACAAGATCAACGCATAAATATAGAAAAAAATATATATTAATCCCTTATTATTATTATTGTACATTTATATAATGCATATCATAACCACTTAGATGCATTTAAAACAGTAATAATGATAATATATTAGCATTTATATAATGTATCAACAAAAAGGAGGTAGTCACTATTAATAAATGACTGCAATAATGTGAATTGAAACCATTTGAGCTGTTGTCAATGTGCATACGATTATTCCATAACCACTTATTACATCTCTATTATTCATCACGTAGAAATGCTCTATGAACAACTACCGCACCATCCTCACTTCGCATTAGCATTGCTCTCCTTCCTTCTCTATAGATCTCTTACTTCAGCCCGCGAGGTCACGCAGACTATCTTTAATGCCAAAAATGTTATTAATTTCATGCAGAAGTATATTAGTTGTAGATCGCTTTCAACATTGATATTTTGGACATAGAAGGTTTTGAGATTAAAGCGATTAACAATAATACTGTCAATTGATGTACTGCAGTACACAATCGAGCGTGTAATAATTCTAGATAGAATGTGCTAAACATTATTATCATCAAGATCACAAGTACTATGTTATGAATTTCTGTCAACAAGTATACACAAATAAAATCACTGTGCCTGAATAGCATTCTGTTGTGTAATCACATTTCTAAACTTGATTCTGTACTCCAAGACTGAGAATATGTATTATAAATTTCATTTCACATGTAATCAACATTTTTTATTTTATTGTAATAATAAAAAATAAATTAATAATAATAAAATATTTGTTTTCTTTTCTGCATGTTTAATTTTGTACTGTTTCATTGTGATTGCTTGTGATTCAAAACATAGCCTTGAAGGTGCACACAACATCTGTTGGGATGTAATGAGATTACGAGGAGTTGTAGTACAAATACTTGTTAGAGAGTCACTTTGATAATCCCTCTCGCATTTACATTTAAGGAGTTGACCTCCATTCATATTTGTGTCTACTGTGGTCTGGCAGTTGACCTTGTAAGAGTAAATCCTGTGGAGGAATGATGGGATGGGTCATGAGCTAAAGATAAAAATAAAAAGCAAGTTTATGAAATATGATATTCCATGCTAGATAACAGTGAGTTATTAATAGACCAAATTAGTCACTAACACAAAGCGTTACAGTGGGTATAACATCAAAACAAATGTAAATCAAATCAACCTTAGACTCATGAATCTATGAATCATTCAAAATGTATAAAAACCATTTTAGACGATTTATTAAACACCATCTTCGACTCCGCTCAATGTATTAGCATAGCTCTTTGTGGTTTGACAAAGTCATACCCACTCGGCTGAAATGTGACTTCCAAAACAAATGTATAGGCCTATTAATGTATCATCTGTTAAGTACATTTACAATACTAAAACACAAAGGCCTAGTTCAGACTAGTTGAATAAACCCGGCTCAACTCACCGGGTTTATCCACCTGCCAGTCTGAACTACTGTAGTTGGCTTATCTCAAGCCAGGATGTGTTTCTATAGTAACTAGGCCAGGCTTTAATCGTTGCGGGGGTCTTGCATTGGCTTCGGGTAACAAAATGACCAATCAGCATTCAATTATGTACGCTGTGAGCTAGCGTACGTTGTGCGAGCAATGTTTTGTAACAAGTTTCCTGGTTACGGTCCATTATTATGCAAATTCTCGTGCCTGGCTAATCCAGCTAATCTGAACTCCCAGCAAAGTTAAGCCGGGCTTAACTCAAGCCTGGCTTATCTCCAAGTCTAAATGTAGCCTGAATGGAAAACCCAAACAAGTACCCTAGGTTGGCCAGATACCTAAAGCCAAACAAACTGTATGCCGATGGTTGTTGGCCAACAACGTGGGGAGGTGCGTACAATTTTTTAAATCAAATCTGCTCGCTGAGTGTACCATCAACTATTTGTTGCGTTGCATCAAGCGCCCACACACAGCAGAATCATTGGCTAACGGCTGTACGACTATCGTATAATGCAATGTGTGCCTGGCAGTATGATTTTCCCAAACATCTTTACGTTTGCCATTTTTTTATTTATTTATTTCAACTTTATTTCACGAGGGTAGCACTACAGTAGTACAGCTGACTTGAAGAGGCCCTCGAAAGAAAAACAATACATAAAAATATATACAATACATTAAGATGTGAAGTAGAGATTAGGTCATTAGATGAGAGGTGATTATACAATATATATTTATGTATCATTATTCTTATTAACTTGCATATCAGTCTAAGATGTAATTATATGCATTCAACATCACTGAACAAAAGTTATAGCTATCACCTATGATTACAACAGACATGAAATGGCATTAGATAAATCAAGTTATGTTGCCTACTGGGACATGTTGTTATCAAAAGTCAAATCGAAATACGAGAAATTGTAAGATCAATAAAATTAAGAAATGGCACCTAACAATCTGACTCTGGAACAGAGGCGCCTGGAATAAGCTGATTCCATGACAGGGGTGCCTGAAGTGGGGAGCAGTTGCCTTCAAGATGATCCCCAAAGCGAACTATTCATCATCATTTTATACCGTAGCTGATTCGGACTGTGACGAAGTACTTACATGTTTCAACTCTTGTCATATGAGGAAATAACAACCTAACTTACAGTAACACTTTAGTTTGTTCGAAAAACACAAAAGATAATTATGAGAAACTTATAAAAAAATCCATCTGGAAATGTGCATCATAATAAAAGGTGAAGAAATGCTCGTCAATTTTAAATCCATATTTTAAAAATTATTGTATTAAAATACAATTATTAATACATTTAATTACATTAGAAAAAAATTAACATTTTAATTGAACTGAATATTCTGATAAAAATGATGTCCAGAATGCTCTAAGAGATCTTCTATCAAGTACCAGCCTCTCCATTATGTCAGGACTTCCATACAACAGTAATAAACCCTGTAGTTTGTATTAACGATTTGTACCTGAGAGAGATGACAATTTGATTGAGTGGACAGATGCGTTTTAATGATGATGTGATGCTTATTCTGCTGATGTGTTCATGTTGGATTAGCATTAAGATTTATCACTAAGATAGCAAATACTAATAGAAAAATTCACCTGTACTGACGAAATAAATCACCTAATTTTGATCCTAGTAGAGAAACTGATAACTACAAACAAAAATTTACAAATTTATTTCTGTCAAATTATGACTCTTCGAAGATGGTTGCATTGTAGTTAGATAATGCAGGTTGCTAGAAACAGATTTTTCTATTAAAGCTTCAAGTCAGTCACATAAATAAAAATTATTATTAATCTGTTTCTTAAATGGAAAGAAAAAATCTGTTAGGTTTACTAGGGTTAAACAAAGAGCAGCCTATGACAGTTTTTTGGTCCCTGGTTCAATGCCTATCACTGTTCTCCTTGTGTTTCCTTTCAGCTGGAGGGATGTAATTCAAATTCAAATTCCAAAATATGGCCCATGTGCATGTTAAACAATGCAGTACAATCTCAAAAAAGTGCAGGTATTTTCAACGCAGAAGAAGCCTACTGGAAATAAGTCTTAGGATTCTCGTGGTAGATCCTCATCGTGTTTCACACCAATGAAATCCAATCCAAGGTAAAGCATTAAATTCAAATATTGAATTATATATTAATTTTTGTTTAATGGCATTACACAGACAGTACATCTTTTAATATCCAGTGTGTTCTTTTCAAGGGGAATTTCACACAAACTCTCCAGTTAATTTACATGAAACAGATCTTTGACAATCAACGACAGAAAATAATTGATCAATAAAGAAGATTAAATTGCAGACATTGCAATACATGTGTCTTCTTCTATTACAATGTCATTAAAATTTGAGAATTAGGTGTACATAAATATTGCAGTGGATCTGTACTGTATGCCTTAATAACTGTCTTCAAATCACAGAGTAATGGGGGTCAAATTCTGTGAAATTATGAAATTTTGTTTCATGACCAAGTATATAATTTTGTCTTTTTGGTGATTATGTGTTAGTATTTTTTATACTGTTATTATTACTGGGTGAGACAAGCTTTCCGTGTAAAAATAAAGTTTTAATAATAATAATAATAATAATAATAATAATAATAATAATAAGATTCTATTGAGTGGTCTTAAAGATAAGGATTTTGTCATTAAACAGTTCAGTATAAGTCTTAATATTTATTAAAATTGTGAGGTATTTCCAACCTCTTATTGGGTACAATGAGTGATTCGCACATTATTTTTTTTTTCTCTCAATATTTTTATAGTGTAGTTGCATTACAAATAGGAAATCAGGAAAAAAAACATTTGAGCAAATATAATTTTTAAAATCATAATATTCAGAACGACAATGTAGGTGTGAGTGATAAAGTATTGCTATACCGAAGACCTGCGGTTAATTACTTTACCGCTTCCAACTTTATAGTTCTTATCTCTCAAGATGAGAATAGCCCGAAGCAAAGATGGCAACGCTTGAAAGCACTGCTGTCGTAATGCTAGTAAAATCACTGCGCATGACAACCATGACAGGAGATATAAAATTATCATACAGCAATGAAATCATTTATGAGGGAGTTATTACTATCATTACGACAATTTTCAAGGTGTTGGCTATGAATAATTACACTTGCATGGGCCTTTTTAAATGCTATTTTTGCAATAAAGTCCATCTCCATTTAAAGACCCCTTCAATTAAATGTCACAGGTTGTCACTTATCTTTATACAGGTAATCACAAAAGACAGATGTCACAAAAGTATTATTATTATTGATAAGATTAAAGGCAGTCGTGGTAGATTTGCAACCAGAAATGTAATCAAGAATGCAATGAAATTTAGAGACCTTCAATTCAAAATTAAATGGATGAAATATTCAAAGGATTTAATTCTTAATTAATGCTCAAATTCAAAAATGAGTATGAGCTGTGAAGCAAATATGATTTTAGATCATACAGAAAACAGCAGCTAATATTTAATAACAGTTGTTCTTTTTATAAAACATAAACAGGGGTGGCGCCAGGATTTGCCCAACGGGGGGTCGAAGCTCCCTGACGAGGGCAAGGTGGGCGTGGTTTGGCGTCGTCCCAAATATTTTGGAAGTGGCCCAGAGGGGCTATTTTGAAAATTTCAAGGTTTCAAAGGCTTATTTAATCAATTTTAGAGTCTACTAATATGTACAGCAAAAAATAATTTTTGTTTCTCCACGACAAATTGTTGTTTTTCTCCCCAACGGGCAGACATCTGGCTCCCTCCGAGCCTCCCCCTCACCACTGGCGCCACATCTGAACATAAAACTCAAAACAACAAAAACAATAAAAAAATTAATGATCAGTAATGATATTCAACCACAATCTACAATCAAGGAAGCAGACTCGAAATGGACACGAACATGGTGACACAACATTAAGCTGTAGAACTAGGTCGGTGTACTGTTCTTCAATTCATTACAGTAATACTTCTACTTAGTTCCATCAATTACATTTAATATGCCAAATTTTAATTTTAGAAGCTATACAACACAAAAAAAACATTCACTACTACAGTATATTAATATTTCTTCTTTTGGCACTTGTATATTCTATAATATTATGCAAATCAGAGTTTGATATTATACTTAAATGGTTTCTTATTATGCAAATTAGATATAATTAATTATGCAAATAAAGGTAACATATGTTCACATCAGTTAATATACAACTATATAGGCAATCTAGATGTAATGATGTTTTAAAAAGCATCATATAGCCAATCACAGGATGTTCATATTTTTGAAAGGATACAAGGATTTTACTGTGATCTCTTGTTTTAATGTTAGAAAGTATACAAATGTACAATGAAATCATGCATATATATTTTTTCATACACTACATTCATTTCATCTAGGCCTACAGTACTTCAGATTTAATGGATTAACAGAGTCAATGAGGAAATCCTGTGAGTAGACCTTTGACAGTGAATTGATATAATAAAAAAATTAAATAAAATATATACATATTATATAATAATAATAATAATAATAATAATAATGATTTATATAGCATTTTTCCAAAATGATCAAGGATATACAGTAAAAAATTCTAGACAAGAAATAGTTATAGTCTGTGAAATACAGACACAGTAGGACATCAAAACTGACTTATAAATGTTTATGACGCTACAGCATCACTCCTTCTAATAAAAACACAATTTTAAACTAAGAGTTACATGACCAATTTAATAAATTGTCTCTGTGTTTCACAAAGGAAAGAATAGCTGTGCTATCTGGGATATCCACCAGGGGCTGCCCCCAAAATAATCTATACACTGTAGGTTAAATTTGCACCCACTACAGTTATGATGTCAACACTGCCATTTTACTATTAGATAATCTATTCAGTAATTACCACAATGTACACGCAATTCCAAAATAGGCAAACAAGGTGTGCATATTGTAGTTCAATAGTCAACGTATTATGGTACAGTCATCGATAATCAAATCTTGTCTATGCGCTCCACTCTTATTTATTTAATCAATTATGTAATTATTATTCGCTACAGTATGTACCAATTTCACAATTTACATTGATGCAAAGTGTTTGCACCCATGTCTGCAAGAATAATATGCCATATCTCTTCTAGCTAGACAATAAAAAGCAGTCCTTGGCCACCTGAAACCCCCGCCTTCACATCCTCCAACTAGCAAGAAAAGCAGACCCTGCTCACCCCCCCCCCATCACCGCCTTCTTTAACAAAATCCAAAATTAATGAAGCTAAATTTGCTCCTAATTCATTGGCCAAGAAAATTCATCTAAATTTATCATTCTATGCCCAAAAGAATTAACGGCTTCGTAGCATGACCCACCATTATTTAAGGTTGGATGGTTGCCTACATGAACCAGCTTAATCCCCTGGGTTAAGTAATGTTTTGACATTATGTTTCAATTGTTTACGTGTTCAACTAATAGTGGGAAGTAGGGGTTAATAGTAATGCAACTTGCTTTTGGGAATGCCGAATACGAATATGACTGCCAATATTTTTCAATCAATTTTATGAAAATAATAATATTATCTCTCTCAGGGTCTTATTAATATTAATGAATGGGCTGCCTCTTGGAAAACTCCAATAAACGACATCATAAATGTATGTAAACATTAATTGTGGATAACTGGTGTGTGTATGTGGAATAACACGTTTGTTTGTGGGATAGAGCATACGAATGTGAGACAAGAATGTATTGCTGGCCCTGTTCTTATTGGTGAGATGTTGACACGCCAGGGTGGTCCATTGCCCCATTCTTCTTTCCCGTTAAGTATCACTTTCAACATGTTAATTGTTGAAACGATAAGTTGCGTCAAGGGTTTTTATATTTTTTTTTCATAAAGAATGATAAAATTTTTAATTGACCTGCCCAAGCCATTCTAAATGGGCAGGTATTTAAATGTAGAATATTTTTTTAAATAAAATGTATTTCCAATTTCAAACCTAGTGATGGTGCTGTCTTTTAAATAAGACTTATCTTAAAACCAATAATTAAAACCAATAATTTGGCTATCAAAGCCTATCTCAATCAATAAACCAATCAATCAATCGTACCTGGTCGGTTCATCGAAGAACATGATAGGTGGGTTGTTAACAAGTTCAACTGCGATTGAGAGGCGCTTCAGCTGCCCGCCAGATAGATTGCTAGTTCTTGTTTTAGCACAGTCCAATAACCCAAGAAGACTTATAATTTCTTCAACCTTAAAAAAGTGGGAGAGGAAAGGAGAGTGGTAAAAAATAAGGAAAATTATCTTAAATCAAAGATAAAGCTAATGTTAGTAACGTATGCCAGACACTCACTGCCCTGATGTGATTCTATGGAGAAGCACAACAGAACGTTTTTAATGACGATCCGTTTAGACTGCCACGGACAATTAGCAGATGGCATCGCGTCATCTAGTACTCACAGGAGTTGGATTCAACGGCCGACAGTTTAGTCTATGTAAAGACATCTTTTGTATTTTCTTGTGAAAGGATTAACATTAGCTTTCGTATTTAATTGGCCCTGTGCCTAGTAAATAAATAAATAACACATAAATAAAAGTTTGTGTTATATAAATCTAACCTTTATTGTATTTCTAACTTACCACAACTTGCTTTTCTGCTGTTGGTATGGTAGACTTCAGTTTCAGGTTGGCAGACACCATCATAGCCTCCATGACAGTCAAATGCTGCAAGAGCTGGCTGTCTTGCATGATGTAGCAGGAGATCTTACGGAACTTGCTCTGGTCACGTGGTCGCCCATTTACAAGGATGTCGCCACGCATATTCATGGTTCTACAAAAATGAAAAATTAAATTTGGGTGCATACTAATACTAATTTTTTTCATGCTAATTTTGCCCCAGTTTGCCATTTGCAGTGCATTCTGTGATCTGTACTGTAGACGCTATGAGCTTAGGGGTTATTGTTTTGAAATTTGCTTTTTGTTATGCAGGGATTTTGAGTGAATATTCAGTGTAAAGTCTGCTAAAATTTTGAATAGTTGTTGATGCTTCTTTGTGACATACTTAATTTGTACAAGCTATTCATATTCTTCATATAATAATTAAAAATGTACGCATATAAATATCTAAAGCCTTACTTGCTCCCAGCCAGCACATTCATAAATGTTGATTTTCCAGCCCCTGAGGGGCCCAGGATAGCCACCAACTCTCCAGGCTTCAGATGGCCTGATAACCCTTTCAATATCGTCTTATTGCCTGAAAATATACAATTACAAATAATTTAATTTCTCTTCCATATCTTGGCTTGTAACCTTTCATGATATGTGACCTTAAGATACATTTAAGGAGTTTGTCTTGACTCTCATCCATGCATTATCTATTGTCTGAACAATGCAATAATTAATAGTAAGATTTCATATCGTAATCAGGACAGTGGACCATCCTGTAATACAATCAACAACAATAGCCTAATTATAGGTATTAAGATAAATGATGTTTAATTAGGATCAGTGGTGGACCGTGGGTGAAACTGTTTCACACATGTATGTATTAATAAATGCAACGTACAATAACAGTCACAAGACTTTAACAGAAATTGTATATTATTTATACTGTGTGTATAAGAGACAGATATACTACTGATGCTAGGGCCTGCTAGTAGGAAAAGTTCATAAGCCTACTACTACTACTACAGAGAATCAGATTGTGTACTATAGTCAAAATACAAATGTAAGTTTTTTTTAATACCGGCATGGTTGTAGTATCTTATCTTCAAAAGAATTCTTATTCCTGTATTTTAACAAATTTCAATTCAACTAATAATAATTCAAAATTTCTTTTATACCGGTCATATGTATGCAAATTTATTTAAATTTAATCATTGAGTACCCGATCGGCAGTGGAGGTCCCGATTTGTGAGAAGAGCATGCGCACACTCTTGGAAGTACCGCTTTCCATTCCAGTGTTAAATTGGCTATTCTGATGCCACCACATGGTGTCACTCACAATAACATCTTTAAGCTTTGTAGGGTATGCTCTGACTCCCATCGACTCACTGACTACGTGACTGGCTGATGTTGAAAACAAGCCATGGGGAAACTCTAAGCAGCTGAGAGTACGATGCGATAGGACTGGCTGTGACTTATCCTAGATACCAAAGTACGCCAACATTGAAAAACTTTGGTAATCCAATGAACTGTAGTACTCAATCAACACAAAAAATTAAGGTCTATATAGAGATTCTGAATAAGAAATGCTAAATAAAACGGAGAAACTGTACTACTATATTTTTTTAAAATTTATTTTAGCCAGGTTATGCACTGCATACATTGCTTGCTTTGATGGTCCACCACTGATTAGAACAGTTTTTATAAAAGGACAACTATAGAGCTGAAATCCATGTTATGGTATCAAATTTATTATTAAAAGATTTGGAAAAATAATTTTTGCAAAAAAATTTCCCTAGTTTTTAAAATTTTTCACCAGTTTTCCTTGCGCAACATTTTTTTTTTTTTGGGTCTAATTTCAAATTAATCTCATGTGGCTTAGTTAGGTGCCAAAGAGACAGCTGGACAGCCAAGTTGCTAAATCCCAGTACGTGCCTAACTCATTACTAGATTTGTTGAAGCCTTACCAAGGAATAGAAATTACCATTATTATTCAACCTACTCAACTACTGATTGAAATATGACATGTATCATTAAAGTCGAGAATAATAGAAAGATAAACATTTCTTAAAGGGTTGCGTGTCTAGCCAACAATTTAATAAACATTTTTGATATTCAGACCATGTAAAGTATAGAAGAATATGGCTCTGAGAAGAGCCTTGGTTTCAGTGGCACAACATTTGCGGGTTTGGTAAAATTCTCCTATCAATGAAACATAAAGTTGTTTGTTTCATATTGAATGCAGTAGGGATACAATTAGACAAAATATTTGTTCTGATGATGAAAATTTATCTTACTGAATTGAATAAATGATAAAAATTTTGTCATAGAATTTAATTCTGTAATTGGCAACGTTTTCGTTGCTGATGGATTGAGCAAATAAAATAAATAAAGATAGATAAAATGGTTCCCTAATTTCCAAGGATGTCGTAGCTTCCAGGCATCACCTCCTACCCAACTATGGGTCTGTCATCATATGACCCTGCTAAAGTGAAAATGTTTGGCCCCCAACTTGAGTAGAAGGTTAAAGCACTTACTCTTCCCCTTTAAAAAATATACTTTCAGTAAAAACGAAGATAGACCAGTACATCAATGGGCATAAAAATTAACTGATCGTTAGTAACTATTATGATGGCTTTATGTATAGTATACTTGGCATAATCAGTGGCGTAACGAGTCGTGGGGCTGGGAGCACACTGTAAGCTTGTTGGGGGCCCATGAATTTCTGTAAAGTATGCTAGCCTAAGAACATTATGAATAAAGGCTGCACTAAATGTAATGTCAATATCAAATATAAATATATTATGTGAATATACACAATAAACTTTTATTCTCACACACTCCAGGGAAAATTTGGAATGGGGGCCCTGGGAAATAATGGGTAACACCTACTAAACCACATAACAACATGCTGAAAAAAGTACATCATGATGGCTGGAGAGCTAAAGGCAGTTTCATTATAAGCGCCAGAATAATTGAAAAATTTGTACTTTTAGTTAAATAAAAGTGAAAGGAATATAATTCTGTTTTCCAACCCTAAAACATCATAAAATCAATACAATAAAAAGAATGGGCTGTTAGTTAAATCATAAAAATGTCCATGGCATGGTATAAAGAGGTATAAATGTATCATTTGATTTGTTAATGACAACAAAGATGACCTTCAATAGACAAACACAGTCCCAATAAATGTATACCATTAAAGTTCACGACCTAACATGTCTGCTATACAAGTGGAATAGGCCATAGGATCAAGTCGGATTTCACGATTAGGATATGTTGAGTTTCTTAATAATGTATAGATGCATTCAAGCATATCTTGTGACTTCAGTTTGCTGTGCATTGTATTCTAATTTTGTTCCATAGGTTTTTGACATCTCCTTTAATTTACCCTAAGGCATTCGCGTGTAACTAATAATTTAGACAACTTCCCCTGGGCATGCCAAATGCTAGCAAAATGTAACTTACAGGGTTATATGGAACTTCCATAATAATTTGGCCTATTTACGAATGTACTGAAGTTGAGAAAAATTTTATAGAATTATACAATCCCGTAGGCCTATACAGCTCATGGAAAAGCTAACAAAAAATCATCATCGATCATTGACGTCAATCAACAGTAGATATAATTTAACCTACAGCAGGCTTTTACAGGAATTACAACATTTCAATATTTTTCTTCATCATAAGTATAAAGCATTAATTATTCTGATTATTGAATAATTTACATAATTTAAATTGCAATCTTGCTGTACAGTGGGACTCAAAAGACAGCCTAAAATTTTCTGAATCACTCATACAGTATCTGTGGTTTTTATAATAAAATTTAAAACAAAGGTAGGTTTATTCACAATGTAGTATCACCACAGCAACCCTGCTGTACAGGTACATGTGAGTGTTATAGTAATATGCAGTCTCTCTCTTTTGATTGCTAATGTTTTAGGAACTGTTCCCCATCAACAGTGAAAGACTTCATTAAAAAATCATTTCATGCATATGTGTAATCCTGAATGATATCTACTGAATTTAAATGGCGTCTGTCTCAACTGGCTCAAAGATTCATCCATCAGCTGCAACAGGTCAGGACTTTCCAGGGACCCTCGCTCAAAAAATAGCAACACTTAAAATTGTCTGCGTTATGGTGCAATTTTTTCAATACTGTTGATAATATTGCTAATGCACATTCTTACCAATTGAATTGATTCGTTCCTAATTTTACTGCTTTTAAATCAATGTACGTGTTTCTGAATAAGGATATTTAATAATTCTAATTTAAACACTATATATAGTACATACAATTTTTAAGTGATAATACATGTATTGTTTTCAACCTTGGAAAACCACAACAGTGATATGTTTCGCTTTTAGGATCCTGTCAGGTTGTTAACTATTAATGTAAGTAACTATGTGCATGTATTTCCTTGTGTCCTAGAATGTTTTCTTAAGACAAAATAAATGAAATATAATTAATTTTGAAGGATGAAGTTTAATGTACTGTAGGCTTCTAAAAACTAGAATTTAAATATTGATGTTGGAAATTTAATAGCAACTTTGTATAACTCAATTTTTAGCAGGGAAGTAATTACATTACATATGCAAGTTAGTTCCATGATGCGGATGAATAATGGTAACGTTAACTCATGTTTTATCTGCTTAATCTTGTTTTATTACATCATAATATTCTCATTTAATAGCTCGATGAATATACTTTTTCCAAAAATAAGACCCAGTAAAATTTTGCCCAGGCTAATAATAGGATTCAATTTCAGGGTCAAAATGTTCTTATTTTGTTCTTACTTTACACCGTACCATACAATTAGTGACCCTCTTGTTGGCAGGAAGATACGGGGACTGCATGAGGACAGCTGGCTTGAGGGCAAAATTTAAGCACAAACTTAGCCGAGTATGTTGTGTCGTTCCCTGACAGAACTTCATATCAGATCGCATCTGATGATATTAATAGAGTAGATAATGTTCATACAACCTTCTTAAACATTAATTAAATAATACTTTACTGTATGTGACTAGCTAATTCTTTCGGATTAAGCGGCCTATTGTTTACTGTGGACTTCACACTCTGATGAGCACAAAACCACCATCCACCCATCTTCTCGTTCTATTGTGCAAAAAAGTGCCTATTTACTACTGCAGTCACCAAAGTGGTGTTCAAAGTAACACAAAATACATCCTAGCAGAAAGCATGGCCACAGTATTTGAGGTTTTAAGGTTTAGATTTAAGGTGAGTGATTTTCAAACCCAGGTGCTCTATTTTTCACTCCCCTAAAGAGGATTTTAGTTGAGTGACGGTGTGCGAGTGTAATTGCTCGCCTTAAATCACAAGCCCTGTTTCTTTGTATCAGCAGTGCACGTGCACATTTAGCTATAATTAGAGTTTGTTAAAGACAGGGATGCTCCTGCAATCTTAGGATGTAGCCTTGACCTACTAAGTTTGATGTTGCCACATTAGAATGTGCTTCTGGTCTACTGTAACCAGTTCCTGCTGCTATGCTAATGAATGATACAGTAGTTCTGCAAATGGGGACCATTAACTGCTCAGGAATGCTACCAACCATTCAGATGAAAACAAAATATAATAATTCTGTGGTACATAATTATTTCTGTAACAACATAAACATAAAAAACAAAGTCCCAAACGGCGCTTTGTACTTTGCAATATCATGGAATTTAAAGAGAAATATTTGTTCTTAAAATAAAACTACTAAATATTAATATAAAAAAATAGCACTGACGATGGCAATGGCGATGTGATATGACGATAGAGGATGGCAATGATTGTTAGATGGTAGTGATGATGACTACAGTGATGGATGATAATGATGATTGATGGTAACGGTGATGATGATGATGATAATGGATGATGGTGGTGGTAGTGGTGATGATGGATGATGATGGTGATGATGATGATGATGATTATATATGCCGATATGTGTATATTATTCTTTTTAATTATTGTTAATCAATTCTATTGTATATATTTATGTTTATACTGTTCCACTTTGAAAATCAGTACAATAGTACTGAAAGTGCCTACAGTATAAATAAATAAATAAATAAAAATAAATAAATAAATAAAGTAAATAAATAAATTTAAAAAATAAATAATAAATAAATAAATAAATAAATGGTGATGATGACAGTGATGGATGATGATGACAATGATGATGATGATAATAATAATAATAATAATAATGTTGTATTTATATAGCGCATATTGCACATTGCCCCTATGCGCTTTACAGAGAAATAATATAGCAAATAACAATAAAATAGTAACAAACAAATAAATAATAATGGATAATAAGACTCAGGAGGTTAAGTAAACACTAAGTCATAATAAGTCTGTTATGTTATTTTCATTTTCCTACTGCAGAAGGATCTCAGCCAATCCCTGAAATATAGCAATGCAGAGTACTCGACTGTAGCGTGCAAGGTAATTTAATGGTGGTTCAGGGTGATGTAATGCAACATTGCCAGTTTACAATTTAATGTATTCCTCATAAAATTTGCAGATTCCTTAGCATAATAGTGTACACCATACTGGTCATCAGAATGGTAATCAGACGGCCCGAATGGGAATTGTCTCTATTAAACAACATTGCAAATCATTATTTTTATCATAGTCCAGTTTGATTTTATCTCTAATATTAAAAAAACATATCCTACTACGCAATAGAAAAGATGCAATGAATTAAAAAGTTCCTTTGTCTTCAAAATCAGTGATAACTGAACTCTCATTCTTTAGCTTTTCAAAATTTTGTGGATATGTTATTTTATTTTTGTCTACCCTAATTGTGTTTTGCTTTTCCTTAATTTTACCATTAAACATTCATTCTAGTTACATGCACTAACCATCAGTCCTTACAGTATTTAATTTACACTGAATCCATTAACAAACAACTAGTTTATGAATTAATTAGACTTTATTAATATTCTCAGTTTTATTCTGCATTAACTAGGACACATGAGTTAGCAAACAACTTGCCCTACATTCTGTAATTGCTGAACCATAAAGATCATTAATTTTTCACAATTATTTGTTTAATGTTTAAAATCTTTTCAAGATGAAATTAACAAATAATCCTATAAGATTGTCTGTATCCAAAACAAGTCAAATTTCAGTACATCTGGTATAAACTTTAAAAAAAAACAACTATTTAAATTACTGTATTTTAAATAAATTATTTTCTTTCGAATTGAAACAGAAACTGCTTTCATAGCAAGTAAACTTATTGTACACAAAACACCTATATTTTTATATCTCTGAAATTAGGTGGCTGACAATTTAAAGATGTTTTAATAAAGATATAAAAATCAGAAAAATATTATATATAATGTGTCTATTTTGGAAGTTTGATTATTTTAATTGAGCATTGTTTTAATTTTTATTAAACTCTACAAAACAATAAATTAATAAATTTGATAAAATAATTTGACTATGGGCCTGTTTCTAATGGAAAGAAATAATCGATTAAAAATCGCTTTTTCGAAAAATCGCTTTTATTCTCGTATTATTAGAAAACGGTACCAGTATGAAAAAAGCGATTAAAAAAAATCGATTGAAAACACGCAATGGATAGCGTGTTTGAACGGCAAATAACCGATTTTGGCTGTGCACCTTTTAGCTGCAACAAAAAAAGCGATTATCAGGTGAAATGTGACCTCCAGGAAAGACTAAATCGTATTCTGAGGTACGAACTTTCAAAAAAATTTGTGCTCTTGTTTATGTCCTAGGCCTACAAGCTGAAAACGTCAACAAACATGAGTAGTGACGAATTCGTTTTGTAAGTATTTTGTGGGGGGGGGGGGAGATATTGGGCCTTGGAGTCTCCGCTGGGGGGGGGGGGATATCATCGGCAAAGAAATGATAATTGAGACCTAAAGAATTTAACAACTTAGAAAGACTGGATGTATAACAAATAAAAAGAAGAGGGCCAAGAACGCTACCTTGAGGAACACCATGTTTAAGGGGAATTTTATCAGAGAATGCATTACCAACCTTAACAGAGAAATGGCGACATTGAAGATAATTAGTTAGAAGTTTATGGGCTTTGCCAGACACCCCAAATTCTGTAAGTAAGGTATTCATAAGCATCACATGGTCAACAGTGTCAAAGGCGGATGAATAGTCGAGAAGCATGAGAACGACACCTTTTCCTTGGTCAAGTGAATTTAGAACACTACATGTAAGGGCCAATAAAGCTAATGGAAAGAAATAATCGATTAAAAATCGCTTTTTCGAAAAATTGCTTTTATTCTCGCAGTAGAAACGGTACCAGTATGAAAAAAGCGATTAAAAAAAATCGATCAAAAACATTTGCATTCATTGCCCCACATCGTATCTTACTCCTCGTCATCATGACAGGAATGAGAAAGATACTATCCTATACAGTTAGGAAAACAACGGGTTGTATAAACAAAATGGTGACGTAATTTCCGTCACGAAAACCGATTTTCGAAAAATCAAAAATGCAGTTGCAACACCAGCAGGCTGTCAGGTACTCATTAAAAAACAGTTTTAAAAAATTGATTATTTTGTGTTTATCAGTAGAAACACACCCTATAAGAACAAGGGCCCAACAACATATGTTCAGCCTATTACAAGGATCAAACCACTGAAACAAAGGATTTGCTCTAGACTATAACAACAACATGGCAATTTTACGTCAGGTGAACACCAAAGGACTAAGGCAACAACCAGAGAAGCAGATTAAAGTATATTAATCCGATAGGAGTGTTCAGATAGCTTAGGATACTATCATACATTTCCTGTATAAGGAAATGGTCCAACCTTTTCACACTCAGATGTACAATTTTTTACAGTTCATTAGTTTTTGATAATACTAATAGCTTAGCCACATCTTTAAATAATTGAAACATGGCAAATTGCAACATATTTTTGATATTTTAAATATTTTTTCTATCTTTAGTTTGTTTAAATCCATCATTATTCAAGCCCATAGGCAGGATTTTTAAGGGGGTTGTAATTTTCCAAAAAGGGCATTTTAAGTCCTTACCCACCTTTGCCCCACCATGGCTGGGATAAATTTTAAAGATATAACACCTCAGATGCAATAAAAATGCCAAATTTCAAATATTTGGAGGTAATTTCAACAACATCCATGCAAATGGTACTTTTTAATAATAATTTAAAATGGCATTTCTGGAAAGGGAGTTCTTTCGAACCCCTCAAACCCACCTGGCTACAGGGCTTGAGAATGTGTTACTTACAGTATATCAGAGTATAGATGTACAATATTTGACAATATAATATTATTGTTTAGCTTTTTAGCAATTTCTCAGAAAATAATTTTAGTACAATTCATTCCAACACCAGTCAACTTCACTTGATCAAAAACAAGAATATGAGCCAAAGAATATACAGTACACAAATCTACTGGCCGGCACATTTATCTTACCTTTATTTCGGCACATAAAGCCGCCTTCCTTTACATAGTATGAGATGTTGCGGAATTCTAGTGACACTGGGTTCCTGTTGGGTAAATGCGACAACTTTTGGGCCTCCATGGTTCTGTTGTCAACCTTCTTGAGAACACCATTGGTGGCAGCCGCAACTGGTATGACCCCCTTAGGTTCATGATCTGTCAACAAATTGAGGAAGATTTTTTATTTTAACATTTTGTGCAGCAATTTGCGAAATATATAATGGCAATATTATGAAGAAATGGTACAGTAATGCGACAATTTTGTTTAGCACAAAATACAGAGATGGGTACAGAAAACGAGGAAATGTGTTTGACCACTTTTGTCGCCTCCTGCATCCACTCTACCTAAAGACAAACTAAATGCTTACAATAATTACAATTATAAATGTAATAATTACAATAATTTAATTATTATAATTATATCTTACAATTAATGTTGCATAGCCTATTTTGTGTTCAAATAAAATCAAAAGTGTACAGTACTATAAGTTGGTCAAAGGTAATGGATGGTCTATAGAAACAACTATATAAATACGGAAATTATTTTAATGGGTACATGCAAATTGAAAATGAAAGTGTTAATAAAATAATAATAATAAACAAGCATTTTTAAAGCGCTCGAGCTATACAATAAAGTCTCAGAGCACTAGCAAACTGTGCATAAGATCATCTTCTGTATAAGGAATAATGATCTGGTCATAAATGAAAATTGTTATTGAAAGTGATAACTTAAGAAATAGACATAAACTAATTGAAAATAAACATATAATCAATATCCCATAAAAAGGTCAAAGGATGCAGTGGATTGGCAGTAAAAAGCCAAACTTTATTGTTCAGAAAATGTTGTCTGGGTCAGTCTAGGAGTAGTATTACCAGGTATTGCACAATCAGATTTTACGAAGAAAACTCAAGATGTGTGTTGGTATGGAATGGCACTGGATGGTACTAATACTAATACAAAAGATAGAAACACCTTGAGCAAGGAAAGACAATATGAGTAGATAAAGGCAGCCTTTATCTTTAGCCTTGGTCTGAATGCAAAACAAATCAAACATCTCTTTTTTTAATGTGGGATTTAGAAGAGGAACTTGTGCCCAAGACAAAAGATCTATCCCATAATATTCATCATGGGCAAATCACACATTTGTGGACATAGGATCATTTTTTCAATCATAAACGTGTAAACTAAAAATATTTGCAACAGTTTATTTTCACAAAAACACCCCTGAATGAGAAGCAAAAAAAAAATACAATAAATAACAGTAATACAGTACTACATTGATATTAAAAAATGAAACTTAGTCATACAAAGCTAGACCTGTTTTATTATAATAATAATAATCAATATATTTCTCATAATGTTGTTATAACCTTGAGGCGCTCAACAGAGAGAATGATCCCAATTTGAACTTTCCTATAGGAATAATCATTATCAACTGTGTTATAGTGTAGCGGGAAGGGCAATTATCAATTCATCAATTAAATTATTATTAGATACTGTACAATGTAGGTCAAATGCATTATGACTGAATATCTGTAAGATACAGTACTATTGTACACAACAACATAGTTTAACTGACACCTGACCTCAATAAATTCTAAACTCACAATACATAGAATATAAAAGCAAATTTCTATATTGTGCTCTAATGTACCCAAGAACATTAGAATATTATTATAATATTAATAACCATAATAAAAAATATCATAATGGAATTCTCATTCATACAGTATGAATCTAACTTATAAATGGTTATTCATTTTCAGGTTTTGTTTTCATTTCATACAGTAGTTTAATACACAGAACCAGATGAAATTCTTCCATGATTTTAGTATGAATCTACCATATACTGTACACTGAACAGGGAGATAATATACTGTACTGAGAAATTATGACCAATTACTTATCAAACCTGCATAGGCTTTATTATATCTATTGTAAATTTAACCGTAATTTATTAACATTTACTTAATAAAATACACTGGCAGTAAAAGCTAAGTTCTCCCTGTTGGTCTTTCTATAATTATAGGTCATACTGGTTTGCCAAGTATCAAACTAAATAAGCTGCATTTTGAAATGTTTACAGTACAGAAGGCAAATTGACAGGAAATTGCTGCTGAAATATACAAAATGAAGAGTCCTTGTTGAATATATACAAAATGAAGAGTCCTTGTTGCATAAAAAAAAACAAAAAACTTTGTCCTTGACAAACTGCTTTATTTCACGTAGACCTATTGTATAGTGAAGGTAGAGGATTTTTACTAAGCTCTAGTGTGACGATGGGAGTGAAATTTGCTTGGCATGTGCATCCCTCTTTCTTTAGCATGGGGGGGGGGGGGATGGGGGGGGGGCCAGAATCCGTAATGCTCTGTTGGGATTGCTACTCCTCCTCAGTGTGAGTCTGTCAATCTTCCCATGCCGGTACCCATTTATACTCCCATTTAGGCAAAAAAAAAACAAAAACAAAAACTAGTTTCTCGTCCCCTCGCACATCCATGCCTCACCAAAATTGTTATTTTTAAAATTTCCTTTATTTTACATTCGTCAGTAAAATTCTTTTTTGGTTGGGGATACATATGGTATGATTCATGTCTAGAGCTTCTTTTATTTGCATTCAATGTGTCTACTTGGTAAAAATTAGAAAGTAGTACTGTAGTAGTCTTTTCCCATTGACCATCTTGGATTTGCCATCTCAAGAGTGTAAAAAAAAAGTTTCTTTATTCTCCCTTTTTCAAAATATTAGGATGAGAAAATATATATTATTTTTTTTACTTGGCCTTATAATTCTGGGTAGAGAGAGACAATCACCCAAGTGTCTTGCCCAAGGATACACCGACTTGCACAGCAAGGGTTTTAACCCATGTGACGATACAAAGTATCATGCAATGTGTATCATGTTTTTATTTGACATTAAATTGACTGTATGCACCCTAGGCAGTGTCTTAAAATGGAAATGTGTGCTTTGTCATAGAAAGCAAGACTATTTATACCGTGATTAACAAAAACAATTTTTGGAAGATGTCAGAGGAAGGCTAGAAAAAAATTTAGTTTTGCTAATTTACAAAATTGTTTACTGCCAAATGCATCAAGTGAACAAAAAAAATTAATGAAAAAAAATGTACTGTAAACTGTGTATTTTTAAAAAGAAATAGAGGGTAGACTTTTGCCAAAAATTTCATTCTATCCAAAATCACTGTTACGGACCTGTTTTTCAAGATATAAGTCTCACCGAATACCTCCACCAAGGAGTTTAGCTACCTGGTATGTAAGATGGGAATGATAATATTGGTGTCTTACTGAATTACACGCTTGACTAGGCAAGCTCTACAGGGAGCAGAGTATGTTTCACAATGTGCTTGATTGATTCTATATCCAATGACAGGCTGGGATATAATAATATAAATAAAGTAACATGCATTCATTTCAGCATTATGCACTAAGCAAGTCCCCCTAACATCCAAACATAATTATTTCCAAGCTGACAGAATTAACTTTTAATGCACCATTGCAAATGCAACAATCCTAGGATCTATCTTGTAATTGGTTAAAGCATGTAGGGTGTAACATGTGTTTAACGACTGAATGTAAATTGCATACTGGAAAAAATTAAATATTCATTTATGCAAATGAGGATAAATGAGGATATAATTATAATAGACTACACTCTTATTAGGATCTCTCTAAATCATAAACAACATTCAACAATATAAATTACCATTTGTTGAAACTAATTGGGAATAATAATAATTCTGGATTTATATAGCGCCTCACGTTGACACAACCTCAAGGCGCTTAACTACCATCCTTGGACCATTAACCTACACCATATGTGAACACAAGCAATAATTTATTCTTCAAGTTCCACCAAACAAAAAAAACTGTTCTTCCAGAAATTCGCGCTGAATAATGTTAAAGAAAATTTGGTGCTGTAGTGTGATATTTGATCTCTTGTCAAAACCTTACAAAATGGCTACATTCATTTCTAAGTACAGCACTACAGCAATGACCATCGACTTCAACCTGCACTATGGATTATAATAATATGGCTTGATATATGGAGAAAAAATCAATACTACTATAATATAATACATGGCTTTATCATTATTTATTATTAAGATTTATTCATAGTACAGTACATGAATATGGTTGATCTGATATACTGTACAGTATTAAGTAATTCAATCTAAAGTAGTTAAAGAAATTATAATTTTATCTTAAATATGTATATTATTATAATAATATTCAGTCATTTTGATACTTCTAATAGTACTAGACTTGCCTTATAATCAAACCTCTTGCATAGTCCACCTACAGCATAGTATAATATTACAGTATATTAAATTTACCAAGTGTATTCGGAATCCCCAGAATTATGGGAAATTTGATCAATAATGTAAAGTAGGTTGTTGATGTCATACTGTCATTGATCACATGACTGTGATTAATATTCCTTTATGAAAACAGAGTACATCTGACAATCAGACAAAATAAACGATTATCATTATGTAGGCATTTTCAACCTTAATAGCTTAGGATAGTCAACACACATAATTTTAATTTATAAAAATATATAGCCAGTCAGTACTGACTCAGTGCAAAACAATTAATAAAAACAATATTATTTATGCACTTGTCAATTGTATTCCTGCCCCCCCCCCCCCGACGCAGGCCATAGCGGGGCACTGGCCGGGACTGAGACAGGGACATACACATGTGTCTCTGCAGTGCCGGGACGTACCTAAAATTCACCTGCAGATGTAACTGGCATCGAAAGTGCCTGAAATTTTACACGTTAGAGTAGCCGGGGTTTCAGATGTAGTGCTGTCAAATGGTCTGGGCCTACCTAGCAATTTGTCTACCTACACTAGGCCTAGGCATTCAGCAATTGCTGTGTGTTTTGGTAATTAAAAAATTTCCTACCGGTACTCTAGGCCTACCATCATGGTTTCATTTTTTATAGTCTATAGATCACGGTATAAATTACATAATAAAATTTGGATCTCTACCACACAACGACGGGGACCGAGGTGTGAACCTTGTAGTCAAAAATACACCAGAAGTGATCCAAGGAAATCTGTTTCTACTACTACTGTATTAATTTTTTAAATCAAACTTTATTTTTGATACTGAATAAATTCTATCATCAGTTATATCAATCAATTACTTCAATGGAGACCTGCCTAGTGATACGCATGTGTGGTGCTTCCATCAAGCAAGCTCATCTCCTTGCCTAGTTCTCATGTGCTTCTCCGATTCAGGCTAGACCGATGGGCTAGACCTATCTTCAAATAGTTTTTGTCTCGCTTTTTATGTTTGCTACAGTAGGCCTTATCTAATCATTTATTAGCGGGGAATTTTACTGGAACTACGAAATATATCCCAGTGGTAGGTGGCGGGGACTTAGCTGAGAATGTACGTTAAAACGATGCCCCGCATTGCTGGGAGGTGGCCGGGATTTTCACATGCACGTAACCGTTTGTAAATTACATCCCGGCTAAGTCCCTGCAAGGCCCGGGTCTGGAGGAGCCAGGACTACAATTGGCAAGTGCATTATTTAAGATCACTCCATTAACAAATTTTAGAGTTAAAATGTTAGGACAGTAAACTAAAATAGCTATTGACTCTAAAAAATCAAAGGGTCTATGCAAAAAAATATAGGAACACATAATTTATGAGAAAATTTTTTACAAATCTGATATTAAATTGAAATAACCATTAGAATACACAATGTATAATATACCAATATTGAACTGAATTTTTCAATTTTCATCTCACAACTAGCAATGTTTCATGCAATTTTATGAATTTATTTTGTTAAGTATAATATTTGTTTTTGTAGATTTTGTTATGTTGTAGTATAAGGAATGAAATATTTGCTTATTTTTTTTTTGTAGATTTTGTTATGTTGTATTATAGGAATGAGATATTTGCTTTGTAAGTAATTTCTTGATGCACTTCCACTTGGGAAGTATAGTATAGTCACTAATCACTAATGATAAAAAGTGTAGTTTTTAATCAATGTATGGGCTAGGCTGGTTCATTTAAATTTACTGTACATCAATAGAATAATACATCACTACCGCCACCAGATTGAAATACTGAAACCATAATACAAGTCATGTAGTTGTAGATTGGTGGTTAAAGTGCTTGTCTTTAAAAACCAAGGTTTCGGGTTCAAATCTTTTGAGACACCAGCGATTTCCCCCCACCCCCAGAGGCTTTAAAAAGAATGCCAATTCTAAAGGCGAGACTTTTTTTCATTGCTTGTTTCGCATATTTATTTTTTAAAGATTACCGGAGGAGTGCGGAATAAAATAAAAATAAAAATTTGTTTTCTTATTTAGAAAATAGTTTTGCCAAAATCATCCAGACGGAGGAGAAAATAAAAATAAAATTTTTTTGGTGAATGTAAAATAGGATGGTTAAATGCTTCAAATTTATATAATTAGGAAGAAATATACATATCTTCGGAGACGTAACATAAATAAAGAAAATGTGATGATATGATATTTCCACTTTTTCACAGAATATCTGCTGACCTTTTGCCTTTAGCTTAATATAATTTGAACAATTTTAATTAGGAATACTGGTATCACAAAATTTCCATGAAATTATATTTGCTAGTGGTGAATAAGATAAAAAAATAATCAAACACAAATTACTATCAATCAAAAGATGGACAAATTTTTGAAAACATTTCTAACTGATTTTACTTACTGTGACATGATACAGTATAGAAGCTAAGCCTGGTAACGCAGAAGTCTACAGTGATCACTTCTAGTCGTGATCAGCAGGAGAATGTCCTGTCATGTACTGTACATTAAAGCCTATAGCGATAACATGTGAATTACCATATTGACCTGCCTAGCCACGACCCTTCCAATCCAATGCATGCATATTATTATCCTTTAATTTTCCAATCCTTGTAACCATAGAAACAAAGGTGTTACTAGCATCAAATACAAAGATAAGATTTGCGATAACATTCCTGTACTTGGGGACAGTTTGAGGACATTTTAAACAGTTTGTAATATTTTTTTTATATTAAAGCAGTATTTAAAAAAATGGAATTTATGAGATTATTGTAATTTTGAAATAGTATGTGTAACTAAAGAAGTCAGTCTAACACATTTACTACAAAATTAGATCTAAAGCAAATTTAACAAGATATTGTTTAAAATATGTGGAACTAATACAGAATAAATGTAATAAGTTTATTTATAGCCTGAAGAATTTTCTTTCACAAACCTGTATTTTGTTTATTATTATACACCATGCCTACTATATTTTACATGGTTTTAAACATTTCTTGTAGGTTGGTAACAAGTTGCATTCTTACAGTATACAATGCACTTGTCTAAATTGCCCTAGAATATACTCCAATTTACGACACTCCGAAAGAGGAAATATTATTTTATGACCAGACTCTGAATGATGTAATCTGCAAATTCCATTGTGTAAATGCAAACTCAATTTGCTATGATGCTGTATGTTTGAGAAACTACTGTATGAAATTTACATACCTGTAAAATATTTGTTGAAAGTTAAATCAAGTAGTTGTATTAATCATTAAGCCTACAGTAATACTATAGGCCCTGATTTACAGTAGGCTGAGGTGTACAGATCCACAGATATTTCTATAGGTTATCCAAGCAAGGACTGTATTTGATTGACATTTAAAAATGAATATAAAAAGCCTGATTTAAAACAATGATTAAAACTGCCTGCAATAATTGCTGATATAGATGCTCTAAGTTTGTAGATGATAATAATATCACCTTTGATGATACGATGAAGACGATGCTGACATTAATTATGCTGTTTATATATGATATGATGACAGTAATTTTTTTTAATGATAATGACAATATGTTATTGATAATGGCAATGACTGATTAAATGACATTGTTAATAATAATAATAATATTAAATAATAATAAGTAATAATAATGACGACGAATGACAATTGGTAAAAATGTACAAATTGCAATGGAATGTCAGTAGTACTGTTGTAAAAATGCTGCATTCTTGTAGCGCTGAGTACAAAAACTAGGAACTGTACCAGCAATTAATTCAGTGCTTAATTTAATGAACAGATTTGCTTTTGATATAAAAAGGATATTTAATTTACTGGTAGTAGTACACACACAAACTTGATGCGAGACAATATAAAGAGTGAACAATGAAAGGCAAACAGTGTATAAAATATATACACAATGTAAAACACAACTGACCGACAGTTTAAGAATATGGAAAGTGTGCAGTAAAGCCGGGGCACTACATGCGTCGTACAACCGTCGGCTGATCAATCCAACTCTGTTCCCTGTGAGCATTTGATGACGCAACAATGCCTGCTGATCGTCGGAATCGCGTCGGCCGACGACTGTTGTGCAGGGCGCGTGTCCAGCTTCAATCAGAACAGTTCACATGCAAATTCAGTATGAATCCAAATGCCATGCACTTCACATTCAATTGCAATTACAATTTGATTTAATAGTGTTAATTATATTAGCAAGTACTGGTAGGTGACATACATGATTAAATGAATTGTGTAAATCCATAAGGAAAAAACAACCATCATAATTTAACTGATTGTATTGCTAGATTCTCATTTTGACACACAAAATAAACAGTTTATTTTTTATTTTTTAAGTTAAAAAAAAAACAAAAAAATTCCAAAGAGCCAATGTGATAACATTGCCAGGGCCAGCAAAGACACTGGACCTTACAACCTTACACAGGAATTTCTTTTGCACCTTAACAACAAAACCAAACACTAAATTAATGTAGTCATTCTGTACCAAATGTCTTCTCCCTCCCCATCCCCCCCCCCAAAAAAAAACATAAAATGGACACCATAGAGCCAACCACCACTGTATGTTAACTGTGCTTTAAACATATAAAATGTTTACCTAATTTTGTTGATTTGTACATTATTGTTACAAAGAATATTCCTTAAATTGTTAAAATATTATTGGTGGCAGAAAGTACAAAAATAGGAAATTCTATTGCAATCTGAGATACAGTACAGATCATTGCATTTGCAAAGGAAAGGGATTATGGTGAAAAAATATAACTCACCAAAATAAATGTATAGAAAAATATTCATTAAATAATTCCAGGGGCATTGTAATTCACTAACAAAATATTTATGAAACTGAAGTTAATTTATTTTAAAAACTTATAAACGTTTAGGTAAAAGACTTACCTACTGGTAAGTTTTACCAAAAAACTCCCAGTAGCTTTGCCGGACCGGAAGACTTACTGAGATGCACATCAAGCTTCATCAAGTCCTACTTGCCCAGTAAAACTTATAGAGCCAGTTTTACCGAGCCAAAAATCTCCAGTGCGAACAGCTGAATCAACTTCACTGGCATGAACTTTATTGGTCAGCTCATTAGTTGCTTTTCACAACCTCGGTAATTCTTCGGCAACTGTAAAGGCCAACTCAGACAGCATCGGCCGACGCAGCCCGACCCGATTTATCGTCGGGGACAGTCTTAAGCCGTCATGAGAAATATTATACATGTTTAATATTCTACGACGCGACTGCCCCCGACGCACACCATCGCGTCTGCGTTTAACTCACACAGACCCAACTCGACAACAAATCACGTCGGGCTGCGTCGTACGACGCTGTCTGAGTTGGCCTTAAGACTTACTGAGTCGAAAAAAACCCTGTACGGATGGTGGTAGATTATTCACTACAATGTTTACAATGATCTTGGAAAGATTTTTACTGAAGAAAGGCCAGTGCAAATTTAGTGATAAACCTGTTAATCAGAAAGTAACTAAAAACCAAAAAATGAATGACAAATTAATCAAATATTCAATAAACATAAATAATTTGGAAGGACTATATAATTTTCAGATTAGCAAAAAATGAACATAATGAAAATAAATTTTCAATAGCAAATAGAAATGAAAGAAATAAACTGAACTTAAAAAAACTCACCAATATGAGTGTTAGGGTTTACGTGCAAGGTCAAAGGTTGCGGCGGGCAATCACATTGGTGTTGATGATACATGCATTGAGCAATCAAATTCCCACCTTCTGGCTGCATAATGGTTTTCACATCAGGCAAAATCAACATTGAAGTTTCTTGTAATTTATCCTTATTCGCCGTCTTCTCTTGGCTACACTGCTGTTCCACCTGTTCCGCCACACGTTCCATTTCTCCACGTAAGCTCAACTCCTCGTGAGCTAGATCACGTGTTGCATCTGTCAACTGTTTTATGTGACTCATTAGTGTGTGTACAGAACTCATGATCTGTCTGCGATCACCACCGCCATCTTCTCCAAAATTTTCCACATCAGTGTACGCAGGACGCGAGCCTCTCGGCTCCGCATACTGCTTGCTCTCGAGTAAATCGTTCATTTCGGTAATGTCACATATAACAGAATCCATCTTATCCGAATCCATGCTTGAGTCGGCTTGTGAACGATGTCTTACCTGTGTTGTTGCATTACCTTCGGAAGTACGAGGACTTAACCGAGCCGACTTTCTGCACACGGTACTAGCTATACTTGTATACAGTAATCCCTCTGAGGACATGTCCATAAAAAATTTCAATAAAGACTGTTGTTATGGTAACTATCGTGTGTGCAAGTAGCACTTAAAAAGGATGAAATCACCAGCTACTGACGAAAGCAAAACTGTGTTTTCATAACCATCTGAAAAAACGAAGAATATTTATAGTCCTCAAAATTCATGGTTTATTTTTAATATCAATTCTATTCACCAAAAAAACCTCCATATATTATCATCCTATTTTGTGTTGCAATTTTAATTAATTCTTACTTCATTTAATTTCTGAATAAAGAAACCAAAAAAAAATTTTTTAAATCAGTAAAGTTTATAATAAATTCTTTTAAATTCAGGCAAACCCCCTTTTGTAGCAAACTCCCCCTCTTTTGAGGCAAACTCCTCCCTCTCGAATTTCCCAAACGAGTCCTCAAATCCAACTAATGCACTGCAGACACACCCAGACTCGGATGGAATGTTATGCTGCAGATATTTTCTTGGAACATTAAATTTAAACTGCTTGTAGATTATTTAAACCCATAAAACACAAAAACTTCTCTGGCATCTGGGTTTTCGCGGACCCCACCGAGGCTGTGCCCCTGGACCCCACTCTCAGAGAACCTCCCCTTGGAAAAACCTGGCTACAGGCCCAGTATGGTAGAACTATTTATTTAGTATTTAACAAATTCAATTTCAAGTTACAATGTACAGTTTAGACTAAAATTAGCCAATTATAGTAAAGTCTCAATGCACAGAGAAAAAATCCAATTCCTACAGTATAAAGTCTAAATAAAAAACAAAAACAATTCTCAGCTAACCATGAAACAAATCCAACAATAGAGCACATCAGAAGAAATCTTTCGAAATATTTACCTGCATATCTACAAGAGGCCTGTCAATATAAAATTGGAATTTGTTTGATCAAAGAGATCAACGGTAGATTAAAACTCCTTTTATAGCTTTTGCTTGAAGTTCACACGGAAATACTGTACGGACACGTTTCATCTGATTCATACTAAAAGTAGACTTAAAAAAAGCATTGTGTCATGCACAAAAACACTTAAAAACCTGATATAAAGCATTAACAAATAAAAAGAAGCTTTGTACAGTAAAATGATGACATTTGGAAAAACTCTGAGTCATTAAGAAATTACTTTGGTTTTGCTCTGATGACATTCACATAAAATCCTATTTAAGAAGTCTTGCGAAAACACAGCATTTAAATATTCATGATTAGTATACAGACGAATTCTCCCGAGGCTTGTGTAGTACTCAACTGCCAATTTAACTAAAAGCATCTTCTTATACAGTATAATGATAATTATCGTACTCTGTGTTGCAACAAGAATAATTTAGCATACCAAAGAGTTTAACCGGAAATAATAAACAGTGGCTTTCGAAAATCTAAATCAATCATCAAAATATACCACTAATTAAAAATTAATAATATTGTGGGAATGTTTGGAATAGCAGATGTGGTTTGGTGTCTCAACCACTGAGTCAAGGGTTCAAATCCTATGTGTGATCTTGGGCTAGGTGAATTACTTGGACATTGGTTTCCCTTTCTTTTCCAAATAATATTTAAACATATTTTGGGAGGTAAAAAAAAAAAGGAAAAAAAAGAAAAAGAAAAAAATGATAGCCCACAACTATTAAATTTTATTTTCGGGCGTCTAGAACAAACACAAAAATTTTATTGATAATCAATGATCAGAGTATCGAGCATGTACCACCAGTCCAGCAATAAAGTAGGCCTATCACTGACAAACAGTAGTAGGCCTATCAACAATATTACAAATACAATTTCTTATTACCGGTAGGAGAAATCAGTTAAACAAGTATTAAATTTCTGTTTACAACACAACAAAATATTCTATTTTGTTAAGAAAAAAAAGTTAAAACCATTGTTTAATTTGAATACTGACATGAGCTAGCATTCAGATAGGATGAATTATCATTGTTTGTTTGCATCTTGATAGTCGCCCGAAAATGTTGTTTTGTTAAAGTTTGCATTATAAAGGTAATGTTAACTTACATTCTGGGTAATTGAAATGCCATGTATGTAGAGTATCACCCCGGTAACCATTTCATGTAGAGTCAAAATGGAGTTGCAACGCGGTTCTTTCCTTGCTAATCTGATAATTTAAGAGAACCGTTTCTTTATCGATATTCAGTAGAAACACACCCATAGATTAAAATTCTCCGACAAACTTAAATCTCTCCAAGTACAACAATGTAACCAGAAGTGTTTAGTGCTCTAGAGAAAACCCATTGTCCATCCAAACAGCAGGAATCTCCCACGCCTGTATTGCTACACTACAGTATTTAGCAATGGCAATCTATTGTTTCCAATTGAGCAATTATGGTATTTGGAATTTAACCTTTAACCAAATATTATCATTTTGCAATCCAGTCAGATTAATGCTGAAGTTGATTTTTTTTTTTTCTAAACAGTTTTTGCTTGAAACTTAAACAAATGTCATTGTTAATTGTTTAATGAAAGTGTAAAAGTTTATTAGTCTAGGAAGTGTCATCTTATGTTTACATTGTTACACAGAACACTATTGTACAATATCGTACAATAGCCGTACTTACTCTGACTCACACAAAGATAATAAAAGTTTAAGTTATACCTAGTATGCAGAAGAATACTGTCGGCAATGACACAAAAACAATTTTAAAGAAGGAACACTAACGACAAGTACTGTACAGAAAAGTGGTAGTGCCAGAATTTTCCAGATGGCAGGCTAGTACTGTATCTCCAACAGCCATGGCAAGACTGGGAGTGCCAGAAGCCAGCATATTTTTGGTATTCACTTGTGGGTTTAGGCAGAGATCTGTGGAGTAACTGAATCTCATAAATGGACCTACAGCAATGCAGGAGATTAATTGTGATGACGATGTTGCTGTCGGCCCATGTATACTAAAGTATTCCCTTCTTTCCCTAGGTGGGCCTACTCTAATAATAATAATGGACATTTATAAGGCGCCGGTATCTGCAAGGTGCACTCATGGTGCCAGAGCCAAGCAAGACAGAAAAAATACGAGAGTAGAAAAGTAGTGTGAGAAAGAGAATAATTAATTGAGGAAGTGCTAGTCAAACAGGTGTTTTCTAGGCCTATCATAAGCTACTTTATAAAGCCTACTGTATTAATCAAAGTTAAATAACTTTCTTTAATTGTTGGGAGTCAGTATCTTCCAACTGCAACATCACATAATAATTCTAACAATTTCAACTTGTCACATTTTGAGGACATCTCAATACTAATCATGTTATTACAAGATAAAGTACAATTAAAGGTGCTACCTTTGGATTGCAATTTATGGTAAAGATAAGATAAGAAAATGTTTACATTGTACACTATGGAAACTCTATAGACAGACTTTCAATGACAATTCAATCGTTTTGATCAGTTACACCATTAACCTTGATTATCTTTATGCTCCTATTGGCAGTTCAAATGTCTGATCATTTAACTTGTATCGAATGATGTCGGATGATAAATGTCAATAAAAAGTTTAACTTTAAGAATAGTAACTATTAAAATCAGGCAAAATGCTAAATAATTAAAATAGCTAATTTTTAGAAAAGAAAAAAAAAATGGTTTTTACTAATAATACATTATTATTATTTCTGAATTTAATGGAAATGATAATAATAATAATAATAATAATAATAACAATAATAATAATAATAATAAGAATATTTATTTGGCAAAAAGCATACAGGAGAAAAACATCATGGAATGTTTGTTGACTGATGACATTAATACAGTAAATAAAAAATTTAGAAATCCAAATACTGTCTATGATTTCTTTTTCTTTTAAATGAAAAAATGACCAACATATCAAAAATGAGTGTTATTATTCTTTTTGTAAAATCGCGAACCTATTCAAATAGCACCCCCCTGAACAAAAAGGGAGACTCTATTCCTACTACAGGTCTGCAGTGTAGCTGCTTGAACAAGCATGCACAGCTCAAAATGGAATACTGTATATCTCAGCTGAAAATAATTGATATTTTATGCTTTAAACAAAGTTTTATGTCAATTTATTGGTATGTTTTCTTTCTTAGACATATAACATTTTATATTATTTTTTGAGAACTTTAAATACAATTTGAAGTGTTTTTGTAGTTAAAAAGCTCATTCAAAATGACGTAATCGCCACAAATCGAGTTTGTTAAATCGAGAGTACGTAACTGGGAGGTTTGTAATTGGGAGATGTTACTGTACTGTATTATATTAGCATACATGGAATGGATGCAAATTTGTAAAACATGCATAACAATCAAATGCAAATTATTCAGTTGGGAGAGGTGAAGAATGATGAGACAAGTCAAGAATATTAGGAAAGGAGATGTGTAAATGGAAATGACTATGACTGGAAAAGAATAATATGAAAGACATGAGTGAAAGTAAAATGGATTGAATTTTGCCTGTATAGTAGTCTTTCCTTTTTACACCTCCAAGTATTCAAAACATACAGTACAATTAGATACTCTAGGACAATAATGCTGACCTTGCTAGATTAAAGGGTTAACTGCCAAATACTGCGGTAGTGTCATGGGATTATACAATCAAAACTTAAAGCAAAACGTAACAAAGAAAGAAAAACACAGGATGGTACACCTGATTTAAATAGGTCTTGGGACTTTCCTGTATTACTGTATATCAGTGTTTATATCACAGTTAAAGGAAGTTTCATAAGCAGTAAAACAATTGAGTCAATTGCTGTTGGATGTATTGCGAAGGAAATGTATAAAAGTAATTTGAATCATATTAAATGGTAATTTATGTAACCTGGGACGAGGTTGTGAGGGAAGAGTGTGGGTGAATATGGAGAAAGACTTTGGTGTGTATTATACAATACAAGGAGGCCTAGTAATAATACTATATCACATGATTCAATGTCACATGACTTAACATAGCTCGCAGGAAGTTCCACTGATGATAAAATAAACCAGGGTTCTCAAATTGAGTCCAAGATTTACATATTGTAGACAATCTCGCTGGATTATGTACAGTACTCCTTTTGTTAAAGGCATCGTCTGTTGCAGATTAATACAAGAAAAGAGACAATAAGCTTCTTCCAAATGGAATTGAGTGTTTATTTGTGCCCTGGAGCTTTTTAATCCGTGGAAAAGATACAACATGCTGCCAAACTGAACACAGCATCACCACATTGTGTCACAGACATGTTAAGATAGTGCCTAGTGTTACAACTTGTTTTTTTTTCTCAGCACAGTGCACCAATAGGTTCTGCTCAATACATGCAGACACGTTTTTTCCAATAGTGTTAGCCCTACCATTAACTACACACTGAAGTTTTACGTATGATGTAACAATCAATACCAAAAACAATGGCATTTCTAAAACAGACACAAGGGAGAAGCAATGTTTTGTATCAATCAATTTCATGGATTTTTCATTGAGGTTTGGACCACAGCAGATAAGAAATAGAGACAATTGTATATACCTATACCAGCATGCATTTTCCATACTGTATATAGCAATTTATATCTTTCACAATATAAATGATGTGTATAAATGTATGTTCCACAGATAAATATGTTTATCAATTATTTTATTCATATTATTTATTACTCTATGATAACTAATTAATTATACTATTCAACATTTTAGGTTTTGTGCTTTAAGTAGCAAATTTTATTGTCTTGCAAACGAAATGCAAGTTACCTGTGATAGATATTTATTGGTGTTATCTTGGTCTTTTTATAATATTTCTGGGTTGCTCTTCTGTGATCTACTGCAGCAAACAAAAGTATTGTTTCATACACATAGTCAATGTTATGTTACCTTTCATCTTGTTTCTATATACCTACACTTTTCATGTATTTTGTAATTTAGAAACTTGCATAATTCCTAGACTTATGCTGGTTTGAGTTTTACTGTGTCGTAGTCCTACAGTTAAAATTTGTTATGCTGTTTTTATACCTAAACTTTTTATTTCTTAAATAGGCCTACACAAATTGAAATGAAATATCTTTACCAGGCCTATTTCTAATCTAATCCAAATTATTAGTTAGAATATCATAAAATTTTATCATCATGATTGGTTAAAACAGTTGCGAGAATATTTTCTAATATTATATCTCAACATATTATGATTGAATGATTCAGATATATCCTATGAAAGCAGTGGCGTAGCTAGGGAGGTCAAGGGTGGGCACATGCCCATGGTGCCCGGTTTTGGGGGGGGGGGTGGCGCTGAAATGGGAGAGTGAGATTTTAAAAAATAAGCACTTTTTAGAATAACATGATGAAATTGATTTATGTCATCAGGCATGAATTTTCTCCAGTTAATAATAAGAACCTGAATGCTTGTTTTTATTGGCAAATTCATAGATTGTGATTTCTTTTCAGTCCATTTTGAACATTTTCTCTTCTTTTTTTTATCCTGTTCTGTAATGACTACATGTCACAGAAACTGCAGGTATTTCAGTACGGTACGGATATGCTTAAAGCTTATACAACCAACAATATCAATTTATTTCACAATATTATAATTATAATTAGGGGGGACGCAATTTTCTACTCTTTCCCCCAGGAGCCAAAACCTCTAGCTACGCCACTGTATGAAAGTGGTTTCCCCACTGTATGAAAGTGGTTTCCCCACTGCCATTGCATTGCTGCCAATACCACGGTCACCCTGTTGTGTCATACCAGACAGATATTAAAATGAAATGAATAGATTGACATGCTGGAGGTTGCTATCATGTCTGCACAAAATGAATGAAAAAAAAATAGTTGTCTAATACACACATACACTACCTTATCTATAAGACATAAATATAACATATATGGTTTTTAAAAATAAACAATTTGCTTAACACTAGGCCTATATAATAAATGACATTTACAATTTGTTCAATTGCGCAACCATTTGTTTCCCTCCATCGTCGCTGCATGTCCATAAAAAAGTAACGAGAGCTCTGTAAAATGTAGACGCGAGTAAAAAAATATCGACCCCGTCCCCCGACCCTACTAGACATATTAAAACGAATCGCATACTAAAATTATTCCATGCATATACACAAATATGCGCTATACTAAATTCAAAGTATTACATACCATAGTATACAGTAACTATATCAAGTCCATCGAAAATAGGTTATGTATAAAAATCTTTTGTTTGAGAGAGCAAACAGCCTCCACGCATGTATTTTGGTCGGTTCTTGTATGTTTTGAAGAGCAGGCGGCCTTGCTGTCTGTGCTAAAAATAATTGATAAAGCTGACGTTTCCGTTTCTGCAAGCAGCGCCCTCTCTTGATTTTTTTTCACGTGGATGAATGACGTGGAGAAGGAGGGTTGCTGTTTCTTAAAGTGCTGGAGGTCAGCAAAGTTACATTTAAAATTCCTCATATAAAAAAAAACAATATTGATATTTTAATTAATATTTGGATTCCGTATAGAAGAAGAGGAGATGCTCACAAAATTTGAAACTAAATCTGCAAGGGTGAAAGGTAATTTTAAGCTTATTAACAAAGGGTAGGCCTAGGCCTAGTTAGTAAGTAGTACTAATACTAACTACTACTAGGGAAAAAATACATCTGTGCTCATTCGTTGAAAATGACCGCTGAAATTTGTTAGCCTAGGTTTATGCATGATCCTTACCTTACGCCTAGGAAAAATGACAAAGTGATTAGAAGTGGATGGGAAGTTTAGTAGGCCCACGATATTATATTATTCAGTTTCAAGGATCAAAACAAAGAAAATCAAGCTGAGTTATTAAAATAATATAGTTAGTACAGTAGAGTGAGTAGGTCTAGTAGGCTGGGCGGCCTAGCTAATAGTAGTAGTACTAGTAGGCCAAGGCCTAATACTTCCAACCTAGCCTTGGTCTTGATTTCATAATAGTGCACACACACCACGAAAATGACATGAACAAGAGCACAGTAACAAAATTGTATTTTTATAATTTATTAATAACACATTGTATTTGTCTTTATAATCTGTAGGCTTGTCCTTCCATCCCAACCGTCCATGGATCCTAACCAGTCTGCACAATGGTGTCATCCAGCTGTGGGATTACCGTATGTGTACGCTTTTGGAGAAGTTTGATGAACATGATGGCCCTGTGCGTGGCATCTGCTTTCACAACCAACAACCTCTCTTTGTCTCAGGAGGAGATGACTACAAGATCAAAGTTTGGAACTACAAGATGAAAAGATGTCTGTTTACATTGCTTGGACATCTGGACTACATTAGAACTACCTTTTTTCATCATGTACATATTCTTAATTTATTGTGCATTCATTTTCATTGCCAATGTATTCATATTTATTATAATACATTCGTAATAGCATTAGGCCTAGTCCTAAAAAAAATGTCACACAGGACCAACAAGATATGAAACTGTATATGTAATGTCATTTAGGACTAGATACAGTACAGATAATAATCAGTCAAAAATACCTTTTTATACAAATCATTTTCTGCAAACATTTTTGAAACCTAGATAGATTCTTAGATATTTTGCCTTACATTTTGACTGTCAGCTTTTAAATTAATGTTTAGCAAAACCTCAAAATTCATACAAAAAAAGGAGTACGGCAAATCAGATTAATAAGACCAAAAACATTCTTGCAATAACTTTCTCTGAACAAGCAGAGGAAGCAACTATCAATAATATTATAAAATATATTTGCAATGATAATAGTGAAAATTTGATAAAAATATCTGTGATCATATTCATAGTTATTCTAATCATAAACTCTTCTAATTATGCAGGAGTATCCATGGATATTGAGTGCTTCTGATGATCAAACAATTAGGATCTGGAATTGGCAATCCAGAGGATGTATCTGGTGAGTATATAATCATATCACACCTGTATGGGCATACTTCATCCATGTATGGGCATATCACACCTATATGTGGGCATATCACACCCATATGGCATATCACACATATACATATCACACATAATGGACATATACACATATGGCATATCACACCCATATATGGGCATATCACACCCATATATGGCATATCACACCCATATGGCATATCACACCCATATATGGACATATACCCATATGGCATATCACACCCATATATAGGCATATCACACCCATTTATGGCATGTTACACCCATATATGGTCATATCATACCCATATGTGAGCATATAATACACAATACACATATATGAGCATATTATAATTGTATTCATCACTTAAATTTAGTAGTGTGGACACTTCAGTATAAGGCCTGTTCACAGTTTAGCATCATTACTAGATTTCTATGAATATTTACTTTTTTTCCAGTGTCTTGACAGGTCATAATCATTATGTCATGTGTGCAAATTTTCACCCAACTGAGGATCTTGTTGTGTCTGCTTCTTTAGATCAGACTGTGCGTGTCTGGGATATATCAGGTAAGAACATGTTAGCTTCTAATTTGTTTCTTTTTTGTAAAACATAAAACACTGTCTTTTGATTACAGTACCTTTCTTTACTTTAATGTTGCTCTTAAAAACATTTTGGATTTATTAAAAATAATATTTATTATTAATTATTTCACCAACAATTACAAATTTGTTATGATAATGACATAATATTTAAAATATATTTATTCTCTAGGCCTCAGAAAGAAAAATGTTGCACCAGGCCCTGCTGGCCTAGATGATCATCAACGCAACCCAATCACCCCAGATCTTTTTGGCTCAAGTGATGCTACTGTTAAGCACGTCTTAGAGGTTGGTATAAAATATGAGGCTTGAAGATCTTACTATGTTGATTTATAACTGGCTAATATGTAATTTCCTATCTTTATGTTGAGCCATGTTTCAGTGGTTGATATTTTTGATGATGTCATGAAAGTAAAAATTGATGATGTCATAATGTGTTTTCTTTGATGCTTAGGGTCATGACAGAGGTGTTAACTGGGTCAGTTTCCATCCCACAATGCCTTTAATTGTATCTGCAGCTGATGACCGTTACGTTAAGCTGTGGAGAATGAATGGTATGTATTCTTGAAGTTTCGGAAATTAAATTAATTTTGTAATTGAAATTTGTAGTAGAGCTGTTGATGATATTTGTATTCCAGTCATATTTCTTACAACTCAAAGGAAAATGCCTTATGTCCCTACTCCATTATTGTTTTATAAGTTCCATATCCTTTTTTTGTATGAAATCTCCATAATTACATTAGTTTGTGATGTTTATATTGATATTGAAAATAATGTAAATATGGTGTAGTTGTCGATGCAACTGCTACCACTGTTGCTATTCTTGTTGTTATTGTTATTTTTTTAAAACATAAACCACTACTTTAGGACATCATTATTCTTTCATTTGTCAGATGCCAAGGCCTGGGAGGTGGATACCTGCCGAGGCCACTACAACAACGTGTCATGTGTACTCTTCCATCCAAGACAGGAATTGATCATCACCAACTCTGAGGACAAGAGTATTCGTGTTTGGGACATGTCAAAACGCTCGTGTCTGAACACATTTCGACGGGAACATGACCGCTTCTGGGTCGTCAATGCCCATCCTACTCTCAACTTATTTGCAGCTGGTATGAGAATTTTTGTTCTAGATTAGTGTTGTTAAAATACCTTTACATTTTGGAAAATTATAAATGGTTGGCACATAGTTTGTCATTCCTACATTTCCTTTTTATCTACTCATCACTATCATTTTGTTATCTCCCCCTATCATATACCATGATTTTTATCTGTATTTTTACCCTTTTTATCTTTAAACATTGTGATCATAATCATCTATTAGTATCATCTTTGTTGTGTATGAATCTTTCTTTATGTTAATATCATTTATATACTACTTATTTAATATTTTAAACAATTTAAGGACATGACAGCGGTATGATAGTGTTCAAGTTGGAGCGCGAAAGACCAGCCTACGCTGTGCAAGGCAACCTGCTCTACTACGTCAAGGAACGATATCTCCGTCGTTTTGATTCCACGACATCCAAGGATGTTCCTATGATGCAACTACGTGGTGGAAGCAAGGGAACAATTGTTAGCATGTCATACAATCAAGCCGAGAATGCCATCCTTGTGATTACAGTGAGTATAGTCCATTCAATCATCCTCTAAAGACAGGCACACACTGCTTCTAAAGCTGGTGAAATTCTAAGAACCTCAGCAAAGAATTGGCTGATGTAGAGTGAATATTTTTAACTTTGTGTATAGTGCCTACAAAATCTGAACATTTAGTTGTCATTGGTGCAGAGAAAATGATGAAGTTTGTTGCAACAACTTAGGAAAAAAGAGAGAAATAATTACATAAAGAAACAATGAAACTAGTCATTAAAAATATACATAAACTTTCACCTAAATATAAGGAATAAAAAATAATTATCATCATCATCATTCATGTATATAATACTATTATTTATGTTCCAGCGAACACCTCAAGTTGATAACAGCACCTACGACTTGTATCAAGTTCCAAAGAATGTTGATGCTTCTAGCCCTGATGGTAAGTAACTATGGTTCAAAGTTACAGTTATTTCATTTAGAATTAACCTACGGTGTGAGGCCTGATTGACATTAGTCTTTTTACCAAATTTATTTTTTTTTAGCTGAATATGATGTTCTTTTTAATAAAACCAAGTTGTATGCCTCCTTTGTGGTACAAAGCATTGGTTACTTTAAGCATCATCAGTACAAATGTGCCTTAAAAAAATGTTTACAAAAAGTAAACATATAATAATAATAATAATTCTTTATTTGTCCTTGTATATGTATGCCTACACCCTGGGAAAATGGGGCTGGGTCCCCGGGGACTACTTCCCCACTTACTCTACAACATCAAACGGATACAGACTGATACATACTTAGTCCTTAACTCGCCTAACTCTCCTGAGAGGGTTATTCGAGGAGCTGAGCGTTTTTGTTATTATAAAAGACCCGAATTCAGTACTCGATGCACAGCCGGGTATCAAACCCGGGCCCTGGCGTGCAAGAGGCAGGAACCATACCAATTAGCCAAACGCTCAGCTCTTGGTTTTAATAATTTTTCTCAATGTTTAACTGAAAACTACCAGTATTGAATTTATCTTATATAATAATATTACCATAATAATAATACAGTAACAAAATTTATAGAGTACACACATCTACTGCAGTAGTGCACAAGTCCTATTATTAAGGAGCTTTCAGTGTCACGATGACGGTAAGATGTCACGTAAAGTCATCTGCGCATGTAAGAACGTTGAGTTCTCATTGCATGAATTCTAGGACGCAATTTAACCAAAGAGAAGACTTTTTTTCATTCCTTGTTTAGTGCACTTATTTTTTTTAAGATCATTGGAGGAGGAGGGATTAAGAATTATAAAAAGTTTTTGTTTTCTAATTTAGCAAATAGTTTTGCCAATAACATCCAGACGGAGGAGAAAATGTAAATAAAATTTCAGTGGTAAATGTAAAATGGGATGGTTAAATGCATCAAATTTATATAATTAGGAAGAAATATACATATCTTATCTTTGGAGATTTCAAGGCAAGTGGAGGACGTATTAAAAATTAAACAATTTTATTTTTTTCTGAAATTTCCATTTTTCATGGTGGCGGGATGTGCTAATAGGCCAAAAATAAAATTTTATTTTTATTTGAAATCATCAATATTTGCAGTCGGTGGGTTCGCTAAACAAGGTATAAAAAGTCTTGCCAAATCTACATTTTGCGGAGGACGCGTTGTATGATGTTCATGCATGAGTGAATCTAGCATCCTGTCGTCGTGCAAATCGAAAGCTTCCTATTACTGTATTATTGTGTTTGGTTTTTTGTTACAGCTCCAGAAGGTAAAAGGTCATCAGGTATAAATGCTGTGTGGGTTGCAAGGAACAGATTTGCTGTACTTGATAGATCCCATGCTGTAAGTTTTATCTTCTTTGAAATGTTTTATATTTGCATTCTAAAATATGTTCTCTGTTAACATTGTTAATCTAGTATTCTAAAGATCACATTGTGACCAATTACCTCTTCACAGTATAAAATAAAAGACAGGATACTGCCAACAAAGGGTACTGTAAAGATTGTCAATGTATTTACAAAATGTATTTTTTATAGGTTATCATCAAGAACCTGAAAAATGAAGTAACAAAAAAAGTTGAAACTCCTGCCTGTGATGAAATCTTCTATGCTGGAACTGGGATGTTGTTGCTAAGAGATGCTGATGCAGTCACGTTGTTTGATGTTCAACAAAAACGCAGCCTTGGCTCGGTTAAGATCTCCAAGGCTAAATACGCTGTTTGGACATCTGATATGACCCATGTTGCTCTGCTCAGTAAACACAGTAAGTAAGCTTCCTTGTGTTTGATGTTATCTTGTAATCATGAATTATCATAATGATTTCATTAGCTTAGGGAACAGACATTCTCATCCTGTTTTGTTATTTTTGATTTATATGTTTTTTGTCAATAAAAGTTTAAGAATGTGTAATGTTATGAATCATTTTCTCGCGATCTCTCAGCCATTGCCATTTGTAACCGCAAGTTGGAGTGTCTCTGCACGATTCATGAGAACATCCGAGTGAAGAGTGGGGCTTGGGATGAGAGTGGTGTCTTCATCTACACTACAAGTAACCACATCAAGTATGCCATCACTAATGGGTAAGTTGAGCAACTATCTTTTAGTGCGGGGGTTCTCAACTATATCACAATAGGGGCCAACATTGATCATTGAATAAATTTTAAGGGTCAGGGCAAGGGGTGTACTCTGGCATGTAGCGCTATCCGAGCGCCGCATGCATAAGACGGGGGGGGGGGGGGGGGGGGGGGGGAAGGAGAAATTAAACATTTTTTTTAAATAATAAACTGCTAGACACTTTATACAGGACATCTTGACCTAAGAAAGTTAACCTTGGGCGAAAGTTTGTGTGTTTCTTTTCTTTGCGGTTTGCTATGATAGTTCTTCCAATTTAATTAATTAAATCACTACAATGTGGGGCAATATATAGGCCTACTCAGCAAAACAGAATGCAAGATTATTAAGCTTAGAAATCTACACCCAAGCCTTACGGAAAATATATTATTTTTGGCTTGGTCTCTCTGGTCCGCATAACACGCACTCGCTGGCCGGAAATGGCCTGCTGGAAGCCAGTTAAGAACCCCTGAATTAGTGATCGATTGCCTGATTAATTAGCAATCATTACAATTATTTTTTTATCTATCTTCTATATGTATATGTTCTTATCCAATTAGTTTTCTGATAATTGTACTTTTCAAATATATTTCATTTTTCCAGTGACCATGGTATCATCAGAACACTAGATGTCCCCATTTACATCACACGTGTCAAAGGTCAGAGTGTGTATTGTCTTGATCGTGAATGTCGTACACGGGTACTTACCATCGACCCAACCGAGTTTAAATTCAAATTGGCGTTGATTCATCGTAAATATGATGAGGTTCTACACATGGTACGCAACGCCAAGCTTGTGGGACAGTCAATCATTGCTTATCTACAAAAGAAGGGTTACCCAGAAGTTGCTCTTCACTTTGTCAAAGGTAAGACCTTCATCGCACTTTTAATAATCATGATAATGATGGTGACGACATAATAGTTAATGACATAGATTCTATTTGATCTTACAACCCTCTCAATATCATGTCTTAATCTAGATGAGAAAACTCGCTTTGCACTTGCCTTGGAATGTGGCAATATCGAGGTTGCCCTTGATTCAGCCAAAGCGCTTGATGACAAAGCATGCTGGGAAAAGCTCGGAGAAGCTGCTCTGCTCCAAGGAAACCATCAGGTTGTAGAGATGGCCTACCAGCGAACTAAGAACTTTGACAAGCTCTCATTCCTCTACGTCATCACCGGCAACATGGAGAAACTTCGCAAGATGATGAAAATTGGTAAATTATATGCATCATCTGTTATAATCTGATACACATTTGTAACCAAACTATTATTAAACATCCATATGATGCATCTGATCTGATATGACCTCTGATGTACACCCAATTCCCATTTAGGACTGTTATTATGTTGTCCCAAAGTTATGTAAAATGAAGAATTAACAACTATAATAATTATAACAATATCAACAGCAACAGTAATATCATTAATAACAATACTTATTTAACTTACTCGTATGTAGATTTGATTTTTTTTTTAAATATTGAAATGAAATGAAAAATGAAATGAACAATAATCGTAAAGAGATAAAACCATGTATTTTTATCTATATTGCTTCTATTTATTGATAATGTTTTTTATTTCAAAAGCTGAGATCAGGAAAGATACAAGTGGACAGTACCAGAACGCCCTCTATCTTGGAGATGTTGGTGAAAGAGTCAAAATCTTGAAAAACTGTGGACAAAGTTAGTATTATGTGTTATAGCGATACAAAGTATTAAAAAAATATGTATTTTACAATCAAATGGTTGTGTACTATTATGTTTTTTTCTAACATTTTACTTTTTTATTGATTGTTTTTTTGTTCTCATTTGCTTAGAATCTCTTGCGTACCTGACAGCTGCTACACATGGCCTAGACGAGGAAGCAGAAGAGCTTAGGGAAGAATTTGACCCAGAGACTGAAAAGGTCAGTATGTTTTAGTGGATTTTTCTCTTTTGGGTCAAGTTAAAGATTACCTTAAGGTGACCCAATAGTTTTTTTAAAATTTGAAACCATGCCTGGCCTTCTCTCTCTCTGTTTATAATAATAAGACTAAAAGCTTGTTAAAAAATATACATATATTTCATTCGAACAGAATAGTAGACTTTAAGAAAACTGCTTTATTAACAATTCGGATATTTCTGCCACTCCTGTGGCTTTCATCAGCGAGATTAATGAAAAACATGAATAATTATTATATAGGCTTATCAAAAATAAATGTGACAGTGAGCAAATTAGGGTACTTATATAAACAGATGTGGCAGAAATATCCAAATCAAAATCAGTGTTCTTAAAGTCTACTATAATTTACTTTTATTAATGTATTCTTTAAAGATTCCTGAAGTAGATCCTAATGCTGAGCTTCTTCAGCCATGCCTTCCGGTGTTGCAGTCGGAGGAAAACTGGCCTCTGCTGACAGTCACCAAAGGTTTCTTTGATAGTTCTATGAAGAAGGGGGGTGCTGCCACTGCAATGGATGCTGATTTTGGTGCTGCTGACGATGGCGGTGAAGATGGCTGGGGTGCTGATGCTGATTTGGATGTGGACGAGTTTGGCGGTGACGATGGACTGATGGTTGGCGAGGAGGATGAACAAGGTGGAGGATGGGATGTTGATGATGATGAACTCGATTTGCCTCCAGATCTTGTAAGTCAATATTTCATTCTGTTGATTTGCCGCCAGATCTTGTAAGTCAATGTTTCATTCTGTTATGTTTATATAATGGTTGTCATTTTGGTCATTAAGTTTGTTAGCTGGTATTTTGTGTTATTTTATAATATAGGTATGTTATTATGTAAGGAATCTTTTTTACAGTAACATCTCCCAATTAAGTACCCCTCCATCTGAACAGAGTTCGTAATTGGGAAAATTCGTAATTCAGAGAGAATTTTCATAGCATCTCAGTGTGGTGAGGGTAGGTCTAGGCCTATGCTACAAAGTACAAGGCTAGGTATGCCTAAGCCTTGCCTTGGGAGCAAAATTTTGTCACGAAAAATGACTTGGATTTTACTGTTTTCTGTAATAAAATAATACATAAGCCAAAATTACCTTTGATCAGAGTGAAGTATTCATTTGAAGTGATTTCCTAATGAAAGCGTGACCAAATAGTGGCCAAAAACGAGTGTTATTTTTCACGAAATCCATGCCAATAGCACCCCCAATGAACAAAAAGTGAGATTTCTCTTCTCATTGGCATCGGAGAGTCACTAGACAGTGATTTAGTTCACTTTTTGGCAATCCTGTCCTGCCAACTGAGTGTTGTTTCCTGTGCTCTCTGTTTTCTTGTGTTTGTCAATTTTTTATGTTTTTTGGACGAAATAAATGAAATGAAATTTACTGTACAGTTGCCTCAACAAGCATGCACAGCTCAAATGTAATATATCTCAGCTGAAAACGATCAGTATTTCTTGCTTTAAACTTAGTTTTATGTCACTTTATTGGTTTAAATGTTTTCTTTCTTAGCTGATATAACATTTTATATTATTTTTCAAGACTTTTAAATGCAATTTTAAGTGTTTTGTAGTTAAAAATGATCCTGTCTAATGAAGTCATTGTCACAAATTGAATTCGTAAAATCGAGAGTTCGTAATTGGAAGGTTCGTAATTGGGAGATGTTACTGTATTATTATTTATTCGGGCATATACAACAGACATTACAAGTATACAATAAAAAGTAACAAGGAGTTGCCATGAGTTGGCATAGGTCATGTTATGAAAAAAATTGTCTTTAAAAATATCATTTTATCTAGATCATGGATTGTTTATCTTGTACAGTGCTCTATACTAAATATAAATATTTTTAATGTATTGATTGGCATTTCAGGGAAGTAATAAGGAAGTAAAAAGAAGTGAAGTGGTTGGCATGTGTCCCAGTTGGAAATACTTCAGTATGGAAAACAAGTATAAAGGCTCAAAATGCCTTCAAACCTTAAATAAGGCTAATGTTTAATTTTATTTTCTAAATTTATTCCAAATAAAATATCAAATAAATTTATTTTATGTTTGCTTCCTCCTCCAGGATGTTGGTCCCATGCCAGGAGGCGGTGATGAAGGTTTCTTTACTGCTCCTACCAAAGGAATGAATCAAACACAAGTTTGGACCAGTAACTCGCAACTTCCAGTCGATCACGTCTTGGCTGGGTCCTTTGAAACTGCCACCAGGGTAAGTGATCAATTCTAAGAAAATAATTTTTTATTTTTTTTATTTTTTTTATTTTAAGTGTTGAAGTCATTTTTGAATCACTCTCTTCAAAAATTCTTGGCTGCCTGCCAATGCAAATATCTATGCAAAGAATAAAGGAATATGATTGACAAGGAAAATATCTGCTAATTGTAATTTTAAATTAAAGCTGAAAAAATGCATAAATATGCTAAGCAGACCCTGGGTATAGACTTGTTTTGGCCTGGGGGTGTGAAAATTGAGAATGGAGAACTAAAACCTATTCCAATGAAAACTTAATGGTTATTTTTAGTATTTTAACCCACTTTGTGGAACTAATTTGCCAACATGGTGGGGTGCGTCGGCACTCTTGCAATCCCCCACCCCAAGTTTACGCCCAACAAACAGTGGCTATTGAATTTAGCTGCTTGTTAATATCATAAAACTTGTTTAATTTTCTTTTCCTCATCAGCTTCTACATGACCAAGTGGGCGTGGTGGATTTCACACCATATAAGCCGCTGTTTATTCAGACATTTGCCCGTAGTAGAACCTGTTACATGGGTCTTCCCAGCCTTCCACCCCTCTTTGGATACCCACATAGAAATTGGTGAGTAAATAGTAACAATATGTTTCCATAAATAGGGGTGAAGCTGTTGCTTGGTGGCTAAGATTCTTGCCTTGCAGTTCAAATACTGGCAATTTTAGGATTTTTATTAAAGATAAAGATATATATTAATATCTGTATCTCATTCAGTTGGTTATGGGCTTACTAGTAGCTGAAGAGTCACTCTCTATGAATATGGAGTCACCCTCTTTGTATAATGTTTTGAATGCTTATTTTGTTACTGTATCTTGCTATAAACCTATTTAGTAATATTAATTGTAAAAATTTTACCCGCGGAAAAATTGTAAGTACGCCACACAAGTTTATCTTTGAATCACTTTATTTTTCCAAAAATAAAATTTTTACTCCTGTTGGTGGCTTATGTAATTTTGTTTTTAATGCTCAAGCATTCTAAACTAGACTACCAATAAACATTGAGGGCAGCATTTCCTAATAAGCTAATTTTGTTTATTGAAGGCGTGAGGCTGGTGCTAGAGCTGGGATGGCAGCTGTTGGTTTGAAATTGAATGATTTAGTTCAGCGTTTACAGCTTGCCTACCAATGCACAACGCAGGGAAAGTTTGCAGAGGCCGTTGACCGATTCCGATCAATATTGTTAAGTGTTCCTCTACTGGTTGTTGACACAAAGCAGGAAATTACAGAAGTATGTACACAAATGTATACAAGTTATATATAATTATTTGTACATTGTAGTCATGTATACAATGTTTTTATTACATTTGACCAAATTGTGTCCTAGAACGTTCCCGCATGCGCAGATGAAATATTAGTGACGTAATTAGGTTCTAGATTCTACCGCATCATGCAATCGAAAGCTCCCCAAATGCTGTTTAATAGTGTACGGCCATGTCTAGATTTAAATTAGGTGCTGTGTTTTGCAGCCAATCAAAGAGTGGAGAACTTGTGATGTTTACATTTACACCAGGCATAGAAGAGATGGCTGCTCAGAAATACATAATATATCATATGTATGTTAATGAATTATGCTTCTTGGTAATTTTATGCATATTAATTAGTATTTTGACTAATATAATGGGTATGACACAGTGCCTATATTCTAATAATAATAATCATCTAATATTTTTGCTTTTAAATTTACCACATGCATAATGTGTCATGTGATACATCACCTCCACCTGTATGTTAAACAGTTAGTATTACCATGGTCATCTTTAATGTACTTAACTAATGAGAACATTGTTCTTTTTCTTTTAGGCTCAGCAATTAATAGGAATATGCAAAGAATACATCTTAGGTTTATCAATGGAAAAGAAAAGAAAAGAGATGCCAAAGGGAGGTGGAATAGAAGCCATGAAGAGGAATTGCGAAGTAAGTTTGTGTGAATATAAATTATGATTGCAGCATGTGTGAGTGGTCGATTTTCCAAGAAGTTTTTTTTTGACCAATCATAATCAATGAATAGTAATTTTTGTCTATTGAAATACTGTTGTAAATGGTTATAAATTACTTGATCACATTTCAAGTTTGTGTGTAAGGTTTTACTTGTTGCATACATTAAATAATATGAAAAAATTATTATATTTTAATGAAATAATTTCATAATAATAATAATTATTATTATTGATTGGTAGATTGATAAAATTTATACTTTTTATCCTCAACATCAGATGGCAGCATACTTCAGTCATTGCAACTTACAACCAGTCCATCAAATCCTGACATTAAGAACTGCACTTAATCTCTTCTTTAAATTGAAAAACTTCAAAACAGCAGCTTCTTTTGCTAGACGTCTTTTAGAGTTAGGACCAAAACCAGAAGTAGCCCAACAGGTAAGAATACAAAACCATATTTTTAAAATTAACATTTACAGTGCAATACAATACAAATCTTTCTTTATTCTGGATAGTTCATTTAGTCAAGGTATGGTCTCCAGATTTGGTACAGTAACATAATATAAATTAACGAAAATATCAACAAAAGAAAATTAATTGAAAGACAAAAGTTCCTTTATTATTTTCAAAAAGGGTTGATAATAATTATTTTCTTCTTACTTTTTAAGAATGAAAAAATTTATGATTTGGTTTTTGTAGACAAGAAAAATACTACAGGCCTGTGAGAAGAATCTGACAGATGCTCACAAGTTGAACTATGATGAACACAATCCATTTGACATCTGTGGGAGCAGTTACCAACCAATCTACAGGTAAGATATATACCCCTTTTACACTGCTAAGGCAGAATAAACCTGTGTTAATTCCGGAGTGATCCCGGGTGCATTTCCCATTTACAACTCCCGAGTTGCTCGCATTACACCGGCAATGATCTCAAGTTCAAATACCGACCTCAATTTTTGTTGCAATTGTGATCATCACTTCGCTCGAGTTCCTCCTTGTGACAAAGCCGCAATTATTGTCAATATTGAGCAATATTGGAGGAATTTATATGCAGATTTTTTTAAATTATGCAAATTAAATCAGCAGTTTTGATATCAAGTCTATACCGGAGTGCATGTGGTTTAAGGCCTAGCCCGTTGCTAGCAAAGTTTAGGCCTGCCTGACCACAGGGTTAGCGAAACAAAGTATAAAAAAGTCTTGCCTAACCTAATATTTGATAGGTGTTCTCTCTCCTCCAAATGCACCAATATGTTTAGCCTTGAACAGGGCTGGAAAAAGCGTGCGTCTGGTGGTTAGAGACATTGCATATTTCATCCAAGTAGCTTTTTTAGAGAAAAAGAAAATAGCTTTTGTTTTTGCTTCTTTCTCCTACTGGTAGTGGACTATGCAGTGTTCAGATAATATTTGTTCTTGGATGCATTTTGTAAAGATAATTTTAATGGTTCAGACACCAGGCCTGGCCTTTACTATGATACACTCCTACCCTCACTTTGAAAAAAATCCATTCTTAGTTACAGTATCAACTACTTCATGGGATATCATCTGATAGGATGGTATTATCATATAACCTAGTCACGTGTCGCATCTTTAATGTATTATGTTACTATATAACAATGGTTGTAAAATTGAATATAAAGACAGATTTCTTAGAAATTTACTGCATGTGTGATATTTTAAATCTCATAATATTCATAATATTAAACTTTATTGTTTCTTTTGTTGGTCATATTTTTGACTTCTTGTGGAGGGGCGCCATGAGCGTTTTCTTTAAACAGATACCGGCGCTTTAAAAGTTTTCATTATTATTATTATTATTATTATTATTATTATTATTATTATTATTATTATTAATATATTTATTATAACATTAGAGGATAAATAAATAATTGCCATTCTCATTCTTCCCAATAACAGAGGAAAACCTGTTGAGAAATGTCCGCTGAGTGGAACATGTTATCTTCCAAAGTTCAAAGGTGAAATTTGTAATGTAACCCTATGCACTGAAATCGGTAAGGACACAAAGGGTTTACGCATCAGTTTGCTACAATTCCGCTAATTAATGTAAAAATGCTATATAAATATTCCAACAAACGGCACTGTGCTGATCATTTCATTTAAATATCAGTCTTTATTGACATCAGACAGGCATGAAGTGCTTTTAATAAACTCTCAGAATTTGAAATTTATGAAAGCCAAATGATATAAGGATCAATTTATACTACATAATACGTTAATATTTATTTCAGAAGTACTTCAATCAAAAAGCACAATAAAACTATATAATGTTAATTACATATGATGAATATATAAATCATGGCAAAATATAGTTTATTAATTATAGTAATTATGGTGTTGATGTTACAAAGAAAGAATTGCAGATATAACACTTAGGTGTTAACACACATTAATTATCTGTGTGTAACATAACATCATTTAATCAATTAACATCAGTCAATCCATTTATTAATTGTTATAATGTGTGTAGTTTATTATTATTATTATTATTGTTATTGTTATCTTATTACTGTGTTATTATTTTAATATTCTTGCTCTTATTATTATTTATCCTAAAAATATTTTGAAATCTTATTTATTTTTAAGTCTAATAAAAATACACATGTTGTTGAATCAGTGTTTATTGGCAGTACCAATGTTTTTGGCAGTACGGTATAAGACAATATAAAAGAAATGACAGTTGCACTTTTATGATTAAAATTTATTCTCTAGCTCTCGTCCACACAGTGGACTTCATCAGGAGACTGATGAAGATTAGAGATTAAATTTTACAAGTTAGTCTTAAAAGTGCTGCTGTCATTCCTTATATGTTGTTCAATAGCAGACTACCATGGCTACACATTTTTTCATCAGTATAAGAAAAATATAACAGTGTATAAGAATTATTTCAAACATCTTCCAAATATCATTATATATTATGCTTGTATTAAGTCTGTACAACTACAAATGCTATTGTTCGGTGTTTTAGTCGCCTTTTAGATTATATTGAAAATGGAAATATTTAAGCTAGTTCAAAAGGTTAGTGAGGTTTTTCAATAATTGTACTTATAAAACAAACATTGTATTAAATACAGTTATGTTTTGTGAAAATGTTTCATGAATTGATAAGTGAAATAAAGCATTACATTGTTAAAGTAATAAACAGTGTAATTTGATATATAATATCCTTTTATTAAGTTTATTGATTTTTTTTTCTATGGATGTTCCGCTTAACCCTTTCCTCTTGAATATTGTTGTTCAAAACGATCCAAGAACTTGAAATGAAAGGGAGCAGAGAGAAAAAAAATTATGATTATTGCACCTCTAGATGGACAGAAATGCTACTCTTGCACTCAAATTTGAGTAGAATTGTTTTTTGGGGGGTTTTTTCATTTTTTATATTTTGGAAAATTTAGGAGGAGGAGGGTGGACTGGCTCCCCCTCCATGATCTTCACTTTCATGAGTTCAACTCGTGCAGATGATAATGATTATTTATGATGATGATGATGATGATGGTATTGATGATGATTAAAACAAGACTAATTCTTTTTATTTTTGTTATCAGAGTAATTCATGTTTTTGAAGCTATAATAAAGCAGCACTCCATGATCTTCACTTTCACAAGTAACATGCAACGCACACACTGTCATGCAACATTGTTATGTCATCAAACTACTCCAAGCAAACATTGCATTGGAATAATACATTGGTTTGCCTACCAGTACAATATCAATCAAAATGGGTATCAATACTGTATTATTAAGAATATCAGTAATTTAATATTTCGTACACTAACAAGATTAACCTAGATTAATAGACCTACCAGGGTTTGTTGTAGAGCATGACTAGACCAATCAGATAAATACAGGTCTTTGTAACGCAGGTACATTCTGTGTAAGAATATCAAGACACCAAGAAGAGTTTGTAACCATGTCTAAGACACCTTCACGTAAACCTGTAAGAATTATGCTGTGGACTTCAGCGAGAAGTCTGTCGACTGTTTTCAGTAAGGCAATTTCTAATATTGATAACTCTCTAGTGTTCCTTGAGCCATTCCATACAGCTTACTTATACGGACCAGATAGAAAGCATATGACTAAAGTGGATGACCTTCCTCATGGACTGGAGACGGAATACAGTTATGAGAATGTGCAGCGCATGTTGGAAGCTGATTTTCCTGATCAAGACGTTCTATGCGTTAAAGACTCTGCGGTGGCGATTACAGGAAACTATGACAATATACCACGTGGCTTCACTCACATATTTCTCATAAGAAATCCAATAGAAATCGCGGGTAAAAGTTTGGGATTGAACAAACAGTTTATGGATGTGTCGAAAGTTGCCGAACATTCAATTAAAGATTACTTGGCTGGTAGTCCTTTTACTGATCTCTATAATCTGACAGAATATGTTGAGACTGTCTTGGGCCAAACTCCAATAATAATCGATGCAAATGATCTCCTTGCCAATCCAGAAGGTATCATTAGAGATGTTTGCACCAAGGTAGGTTTATTATTCACTGACACACTTCTACATTGGGAACCCGGAGTTGGAAAAAATTTCAGATTATCTGAAACGAAGGCACTGCTGAATGAAAAGACAGGTATTTACCAGAAGGCGTTCGATAGTTGCGGTTTTCAGCCGTCTTTGGCAACGACATCTACTGAAAAGGAAATTCCAGAAATAATGAAAATGGCTGTGTCTGTAGCTATGGAGTTCTACAATAAGATGTACGTTAAACGCATTCAGGTTTGAAATATTGTTCCGTGGCTCATCAGAGAACTGGACAGCAAAGAACAATCAATATTGTTTGTTTTTCTTTTTCTATAAATCTGGAAAAACTGTTCTGATGAAAACCTAATTTGTTTACTCTTCCATTTTTTTTTTAGTTAATGTTTAAATTAATTGATTGTCTCATATATTTAGGCCTACTAATGCTATTGATAAGTTGAATTTTACAGCTTTTAAAAGTACAAATATAGCAAGTTTGAAAAGTTTCAAACATGCATTCAGTGTCGGCGCTCCAAAGTACACCGATACACAGTCTCACCGTTGTCTACTTTTTCCACACAGAGAAAATCAGTGGCTTATTGTGTTAAAACACTATACCACTTACCTTTGTTATATATTTATTATTATTTCGAACAATCGTCTAACAGGAACGATCTGTTCCAACTTACTAAGTTGCAAAAATAACATCTAAAATATAGTCTCACAAGGTTATATGGTTATATCATGGTACAGCATAGTTAAATCAACACCTTTAAGGACTAATTTGGTTTTAATTATAATTGTAGGCCTAATTACAGCCTACTTGTTATTGGTTTAAAATCAGTTTACCATTAAAGAGATCATTGATCACCATTATGGCTATAAAGTGACGTCATGGTTTTTCTAAACTGCATGTGTGCACATTAATTCAGATGCGAAAAGACGCCTATAATCAAGGTCAAAAAGGTACTTGTGTTATGATTTTTAAACATGGCGTGATCGGTCGGACGTTTTCTCCTCTCAAAACGTAAATCAAGAGTAATAAAAGTATTTCAGTAAAGCTAGCCCGTGACAACGCTGCGCGAAACTGCGGTGGTGGAACTTTATTATGTTTGACCGGGTCACCTTATCCCTCCTGTTTAATTTTTATTTTATTTATTTTTCTTGAATTTCATTGTTTTCGTTGTAAAAAGGTGGCCAATTTGTTTCTTGTATGAGTAGCTCATTTCAAACCACCCATTTATTCATTATCTTCCCATAATTCTTGATTGTCTCAATATTATCTTCATTATTAATTGGCGAAATAAAAATACTGAACTGAACTGATGAATCTACTTTAATGCGGGAGTCTTTAAGAGGCCGGCTTTTATCCAGCAGAGCCAGTATAGGCATTACACATGTGTACAGTGCACCCCCAATTCGAGACCAGACCTCTAATTCCGAGACCGCAATTTTAATTTCGAAGAAAATGAATTAACCTTCTTCTGTGTTCTTATAATGTTTCTTATAAAGCTGTGATTCGACAAGTGATTGTGCATCGTCTATGGCGAGCCTCTTCCTTTGTCTAATAGATTGTAACGCGGTACTTATGTGCCATTTTTGAATATCCTCGTGACACTGACCTTGCACGAATGGTTTCCTCTCCTCGGTCAATCAATACCATAATATTAAATAATCGCTTAAATACCACAAAATTTGACGACAAAATCAAGGTTGTAGTACAAAAAAACTATATTTTTCACACATATTGAAAAGTGATTACGATGGCTTAGATCATCCATGGAGGTATTATAGTGATCTATAATACTTTCATAGAGCATCATATTGCACGGCGCACACGAGATTTTTATGAAGAAATATTTGGTTTTATTTTGAAGTAAGGTCTCAGAAAATAATTAGGGGTGTTGTTGTCATTGGCGGCGCAGAGATTCCCCGATGAGATGTTAAGGTCCCGACAATAAGTCTAAGATAAAAATAAAAAGTACAATATAACACAAAAGTATAAAATATCACTTAAAATATCATTAAAAGAATTATTAGGCTATAGACAATAGTTGACACCGGAAGGCGCAACTCTAAAAAAAAAAAGTCATACAATATACTGCCTCAAGTGTTCATGGAAATGCGTTTCCGTTCTTCTTTCCGGCGTAAACATCCTTAGTATCGTTACGTAACCTGTAGACTTGAGCTGAGGATATTGTTGGTTTGAAAACCTGTATTCAATTCAGGCATAATTAATCTTAGCGATAGCGTGCAAATGCCAATAGGCCTGTTGTACGGTCTAATTAAGCTAACTCCTCCATGGTCTAATATACATTAAATATTATGTATGTAATCATTTATGTGTGGTACCTGGTGATACGAATGTATTTGTGTGTGGGTGGCGGGTGTGGGGGGTGGTGGTGCGTGCGTGTGTGTGTGTGTATGTGGAGGAGTGTTGGGTGGGGAAGGTGTGTAGGGGAAGGACGAAACATAGGCAACGATGTGTGCTTCATATGGTGTCCCTATGTAATAATAATATTTATTGACATTACACTTTTACATCAGTGGCAGCACACAAGAAAGTGGCGCAGTCAAACTTAAAACTAATGAACAAATAGTAAAAACAACAACTTAAAGCTAAACAAATGAAATGTGTGAGGTCCTTTTCGAACAATAACTATTAGCACCGGTTCAGGAGGTTAAATTATGCTCATGCTCCTGGCGGGAGGATGTCAAGGATAAGGAGGTACCTGGCACTGAATGGCATTTTAACTTCTTCCGTCATCCGAGCAAGTCTAAACACGCGAGTAGTAGTAGAGACAAGTCACAGGTGACACTACAAAAGAAAGACACACCTAAGAACTTTTCTTTAAAAGGTTTTGGCGTTGCATATGTTCTAACAGTTGAGATATAATAATTGTATCAATCAAGGTTATGATAACTTGGGTTAGCGCTGATAAGTGATTCCAAGTTGTGGATATTCAACCGCTGCAAATCGTTAGATTCCGAGGTGATGGCGACAAAAACTAGCCTTTACATTATATTTGTTGCTGTGTGTTTATTACGTAAGTAAACCGTTATGTTTTTATAGGCGTATATTTATAAACACTTCCTTTATGTTAAAGCGACTAAAAATATATTTAAAAAAATCACTAGATTAGATGTTAGCTAAATATTTGATATACAAATCAGAGGCGGGTTGAAAAATGAGGTTGTGGAGGAGGGGGTGACGCTAAACACCCACAACCTCATTTTTCGACCCGCCTCTAATTTGTATATCAATAATTATACTTAACAAATTGCTTATTTATTTCATGGTCACATGTAAGTAGTAGAACCGATAAGAAGTACTGTAGGCTATAGGTAAATATCAACGATAAAATAGTCTTCAATTAAGACTAGAATCGAAGCTGACACTTTTAAATAAAAACTCCCCAAAAGGACTTTACTCCAGGGCCCTGACCGAGCCCCCAGTTGTCCTTTTGTTTTGAATCCCTTGGATTTAAGTTATCGGACACCACTGTCGGCATATTTCCGGGGTGTAATGACCCCAGTAAAAATGGCCCCAAAAGAATTAGGTATAATTGGCCCCCAATGGTAAAATTCAGTTAAAAATGATTTTTAAAAAAAATCTTCCAATTATTTAAATTCTGCAAAATAACATGAATTGAATCTATAAATCAGCAAAAATCTTGATGACAACAGGTAGGCCTATGTATTACTTAATTTTAATCTATGGAGTATAGTAAAATATAAATGTAAGTTTGTTAGTTTTGCTTTTATGTAATATATCTCTATGTTTTGTTTTTGGGGTTCATTCTTAAAGCTCTTGCTTGTTTTAAATCCCCTTTTTCATTTATTGTTGTGTATTATTACTTAAACATTTTATAATTTGTATTGTCATGAATTCTGATAAGTGGAAATAAAATTATTTGAAATACAAAAAATATATAAGTTCTAAAATGTTTAAATTTGAAATTAACTGTGGCAACTTATTTGGGTAGATTATTTTTTTTTTTAAGTTATTTAATTTTTTTTAAAAATGCATACGATTTATATGTTGATTTATTGATTCAAATTTTTGCTATTTTACAGCATTGAATAGTTTAAAGATTATTAAAAAATCAATTTTATTATTGAATTTTATCATTGGGGCCAATTTTTTATTTATTGATTCAATTCTTGTTTTTTTACAGCATTTAAATATTTGAAGATTTAAAAAAATCATTTTTATTATTGAATTTTATCATTGGGGCAACTTTTACCTACCTGTCATTTTAGGCCATTTTTACTGGGACCATTTTTTCTGGGCCATTCTTTCAGGGGCCATTTTTTACTGGAGCCTCCGCTGCTGCCAGCTGGGCCCTATACAAAAATTATTAGTTTATCCCCATTTCAGGCTGGAAAAGTAACGAGGAAGGAAGGCTTTATTTTTATTTTGCTAAAGTCAAATTATTACCCTTGGGTTGTTTGCTGGCTCATTGATAGTAGAATACATGATTAAGATAATACAAACAATATCTTCTACCTATTTAATTTTTTTTAAATGGGGGAAAAACACCATTTTCTTCAGAAAAATATTTTTCCCCAATACCATGGAAGACACGTGGGCGAGGGTGATAAACTAATTAGTTGTTTATTGGGCCTTAAAATCGTTTCCTTTGTTTGTCTCTATCTATCAACTAGAAATTGAGCTTATCGTAACGACAAACCATGATTGGCATACGTCTACCCTATCCAAATCTAAGCTAGGATTAATCAACTTCAATGTAAGAGAAGTTATGTAACACTGCTAATTCTGATCATAAATTGTAAGTAGATTATAAAATAAAAGGCCTAGGCCTAGATAATCATATAATATTTCATACCTCCCATGGCTGGGATCATAACAAGTCCCTGGTTTGAACAATACACCAGGAGAAAAACGTTTAGGTCGGTGCTACGGAGGGGAAGCGATTAGAGAGTGGGGAATGCTAATAAACATTTTTAATTTCAACATGAAACTACAGTACTTCATGCAAAGTAGACAAGACCCTTAAAAAATTAAGAATACACTCGATGTCAACGCATAATTCAGGTGCGGATCCAGAGATGTTCAAAACTAGTGCAGAAAGTGGGACCGAAAATGGGGCTGATTGATACTACCCTGGGGGTGTGACGTGTGGGAGCATGCCCCCGCGATTTTTTTTAGTTTTCCATACGACTGAAAATAACTTCTGAAGCCAAAGAAGGGAGGGGAGGGCCCTAAGTTCGCCCCTGTAATTTACAAGAATATTGATTCCACCTTTCCATAGGCCTACCTCAGTTGCTCCCCCCACCCCCCACCTCACCACTCCCAAAATCTGGGTGTTGGCAAGTAAAAATGCCTGTGAACGTTACGGAATAATAGATGGTAGTTTTCAGCTTTCAATATTGCGATAAAACCTTCCGGTTTAAAATCTATAACAAAGGAACCGGCTGGTATGATATTATTGAAACTCTAAAGGAGTGCATGGGAACATAGAGCAATGATGGGAATAACAGCAGCTGAACAGTGATGTTGGCCTGAGTACATCCGTATGTGTCTGTATTGAATTTGTAACCCTGTACAAGTTACGGTACATTTGGAAAAAAAATTACTTCCTGTTTAAGTAACTATGAAAGACCATTTCATAGTTACCACGCAAAATGCGTGTTTCATCCAAATTCACTTTAAAATGCGGGACCGTCCGTACTGTGCCATTATTGGTGACATATCTACGGGGGTGAACGAAGGAACACGACCACCTCAGGCGCCATCACTCTGAAAACTTTTTGAGCAAGAATGTTACGCTCAAGTAGATAAAGATCACCTCATATATATAACCTAATATTCCATCAGCTATACCGTACCTTCTTGTAATCATCGACTGCACTTAATCTTCGCTCCGCCACTGCACAACCCATTTGCTGCTCTTATAGGCCTATCATTGGCTTTCGTATGGGATAACAATTAACATGCGTATGAACTCCGTTACTTAATGAAACTTTAAGATATTAACCAGAAAATTATGCAATGTATGGATTTCTGTATAAATTCATATTGGCTGTTATTTGTTTAATACACTTCTCATTACGTTTACAGATACTACCGAAAGTAGATGTGTCGATGTTCCGGTCGAATATTGCCGTCGGTTAGGGTTCACTGGGACGTATTTCCCCAACCACTTCTACCACCGAAGCATTTCAGAAGCAGTAGCTGCATTTCACCAGTTCATAGCAGCCGATGGCGAGTGTTCGGATGACTTTGGAAAATTTGTTTGCGCAGCTTATTTTCCAGGATGCACCTTAGCTAATAACCTTCGGGTTGATATTCGTTTTAATCCTTGTCGAAAACTTTGCAACAGTGCGTTCAAGCCTTGTAAACTCTCTTTTAAACGTCTTAAAATTAAATGGCCGCCAGAATTGAGATGTGGTACGTTTCCAACGAAAGAATGTACATCGGTTATGGATGAACTGGTACCACATATTCCCATGCCGCCAACACCAGCTCCAAGCGGTAAACAACCTTATTTTTATTCTTATGGAAATAACACAAAGAAACATAACCTGAAAACATATTTTCTACAAGTCTTAAAAATATTATTATTATTATTTATTATTATTAATTATTATTATTATTATTATTATTATTATTATTATTACAGTATTATTATAGGCCTAAATATTATTATTATTATTATTTATTATTAATTATTATTATTATTATTACAGTATTACTATAGGCCTAAATATTATTATTATTATTATTATTATTATTATTATTATTATTATTATTATTATTATTATTATTATCTTATATTATATTATTTATTTTATTTTTTATTTTTATTTTATTTTATTCCATCCAACAGCGTAAAACGCCTATTACGGGATTCATAAAATTCAATATAAAATATTTATGTACAATATATAGAAATTACATTATAAAACCATTAAAATTAATACAATAAAAATAGAAAATAGCACACAATATAAACAGCATATTTATTTTACATATTTTATATTATAAGTAGTAGTTCATTAGAGAACTTCCTTTGCGTGTTGCAGGTAGTTTAGGCCTAACATATTTTAATTTTTTTCAAAGATATCTCGTGTGAAACAATTAGTTACATGGAATGTCAAAATCTAGGATACGATAAAACTACCATGCCAAACAGGTTTGGTCAAACAACTCAAGAAACTGCAGGAGTAGAGGTGGATCATTTCAAACCTCTGATTGGAGTACAATGCTCCGAGGCACTGCAAACATTTGTGTGCGCGTCCTTCTTCCCACCTTGCTCTGATACTATTGCCGAGACTCCGTGCAGATCGTTGTGTGAGGCTGCTAAAGATGGCTGCGTACAAATAATGAGAAGTTTTGGATATGAATGGCCAGAGCATTTAAGATGCTCAGATTTGCCGAATGACAC